TAGATTGATAGAGCAATATTATTAGGTGAATTAACTCTTGTTGGAAATATGAATATTTGTTTCAAATCCAAAGAAATGCATATATGTAATAGATTTATTATTAGGTACTTTACCTTTGTAACATTGTTGATAGTGGCACTTGAAGAACAGGAACAGCAAAAAGATGTGAATAAAAGTTAGAAAAGAGTGTACAGGGAATTTATAAGCTAAGTAACTGAGCCACAGCAGAGGGGCGGGCCAAAGATAGGTAGAGGCCAGATGAATTATTACAAAAATCAATTAGTTTAAGATCTTTTCAGATGAACATTGAAATCCTTTTTCTGTACTTAATTTTAAGTAATACCCAAGGTCAACTGACATTTGATTTTTGCAAAATGATTAATGATAAAAATCCATTAGATTAAAAACTATTTCTGAAAACATCCGAAGCCACTCTTTTTGCACTTTAATTCGAGGTCAATTCAACTAAGCGAAAATCTAATGAATTCTGATTAAATTTATGACCAAATCTCAGTGTAAAAGCAGGGAGTTTTGGCATAAAAGGAAGTCTTGATCGAACTCTTGATACGAAGTCTCATGTCTTGAACCAATAACTGCTAAACAGTCTAGTTATACGTGATATGTAGTTGATATTAGAAATTGCTTAAAAGTCTGTACCTAGTGAACATATTGTGTTGCTGCAATAGATGTGTATCGAGAATTATTGAACTTTTATAAAACTGTATTAACTTTTCAAAGTGACCCGGTATAATAGTGCGAGTGTACATCATCCTGTCATCATGTATAACCAACCAATATTATGTAAGCACATCTGTTTTACTTCCATGTCAACTCTGCCTGTCCATATTATGATGATTGCTGAATAGAGATTTATGTATTTTGAACTGCCGTATTAATGTCTATATACACCAATCTTACTCCTGCCTAAGTATTCACGAACCCAGTGAATCAGTTACTTTGTGAAGACCCCTGTATAGGCCAACCCAAGAAAAGGGGTGCTTTACAATGCCTTTCTTTAAAAAAAGATTGGAGTTAACTTTAGAGCAAGGCTGTATAATGTGGGGATATAGAGTTATTAAACCTCAGAACTTTAGAGAACATTTATTAGAAGAACTACACGGTAGTCATTTGGGGATAGTAAAAATGAAATCCATTGCCAGGTCGTACTTCTATTGGCCAAACTTGGACAAGGACATTGAAGCAAATTGCTTAGCATGCCTGCCATGCCAAACAATTGCAAACAATCCAGCCAAATCAGAGGTAATGTCCTGGAATAGGCCTTCTAAACCGTGGCAACGTATCCATGTAGACTTTCTAGGACCAGTTAAAGGTAAAGTTTATTTTCTGATTTTAGATGCGTTCAGTAAGTACCCAGAAATAAAAATCATGGATCGAATTACTTCAGAAGAAACGATCGAAAAGCTAAGGGAAATATTTTGTACTTGGGGAATCCCTGAAACTATAGTATCAGACAACGGTACACAGTTTGTCTCAACAGAGTTCAAACAATTCTTGGCAAAAAATGGTATTAGGCAAATCACATCAGCACCATACCATCCAGCCACTAATGGGGCTGCTGAAAATGCAGTGCGTAGTTTTAAAAAATCTTTGAAAGCAACATTAATAGATCCTAAAAATAAAAATAGTTCAACTAATCTGATTATTAGTAGATATCTTTTAAACTATAGAAACTCAATACATTGTGCCACAAATGAAACACCATCCAGGCTTATGATAGGTAGGAATGCTAGAACAGTATTTGACTTACTTAAACCAAGGGTAGATAATGGAAGTATTAGTCACCAAGCGGGTAGACGAGAGAATTTTAACGAGGGACAGGTAGTAATGATTAGGGACTACAGGGAGAAAAACAAATGTCAGTGGACAAAAGCGGTAATCAAAGAAGTAGTTGGTAATAAAAATTATGTCTGCAAATTACCAAATGGTCAATGTTGGAGACGCCATCTGGATCAAATTAAAAAAGGTTCAGACAAGGAACCTGAAGAAGGGGAAGTACACACAAATAAGTATTGTGATGATAAAAAAATAAAAGCTCCCTCAGTTCAGATACCTGAAAATAACCCAACAGAGCAATTGAACAGGGATTATGAGAATACAAGCAATAATAGTTCAACCTCCTCTTCTCCTCATAGATCATCAAGTAGAAATAATTCCAGTGAATCCTATGAATCACTGACGTCCACTCCATCAACTAGCAATCAGTCTTATGAAAGAAGCATCAGTGATTTACAGGAAGACAACAGTACTTGTAATGAACCAGAGTCAATAATAAGTAAGTCAGGCAGGATTGTTACGAGACCAAGTAAATATAAGGATTTTGTTTGTGAACTAGAATGAGCAAGAAAATTTGATAGTTTATATTTGTAAGGAACTATTCTTAGAAGGGAGGAAATGTAGTGTATTGACGTCATGTCGTCACATTAGTCACATCCAGGATCAATTTATAATTAGTGTATTTATTTGTTATAAGTTGGTATTAGCATAGTTTGATAGCCGACCATATACGTATTAATAATCAATACGGATATTCTCTATCTGTTTCCATAGCGAAACATGAAGCCAATTTTTGAAGACAAATGACTATCCATAAGGAAAAGTGAGATAACGATCAGACACATACTGCTTTGATTGAAAGGCTAGTAAACGTCATTGTCCACCGAAACGCATGTCTTTGATACTACTATAATAGCGCATGGCGCATGCGTATCATGCCACCAAATCCTTATGGATATTCATTTGTTTCATATTTTTGGCTTCATCCTGGCACCCGTTATGATCCGTATTGTTTATTAATACGTATATGTAGCCGACATGAAAATCGAGCTATCTCTCTCGCTCTCTCTCTCTCTATCTGAAGACTGGGAATCGAGCAGGTGTTGTATAAAACTTCGGAATAAATAAAAGCATTTCAAGAAGTAAGTTCTGGAAGTTTATTCATTAAAAGATACAACATATTAAAGAGGATATCTTTGTTCAGAAAATAATGGTTATCATTTTGAACATTTGTTATGAATGTCTCTGTAGGTATTGTCAAAGTTAAGTTGTCAAAGTATTTCGTGTAAGAATTCATCAAGAATTTTAAACGCTGCATTGATCGAATGATGTAGTGAAATATTTTTTATTCACTTTTCAGTATTGAATAACTAATCCATCAAGTTTGACACTAAATGATAAGAAATAGGTGGAACTGATGGCTTTTTTTCTTTTGGAAGTTCGAAAAAACATTGATGATGGATAGAAATAGGTCGAAACACATTCGAATCACCTTGTTTAGTACATTTTTGAATTCAGAATAAAAAAACCTTTCAGAATCTGTGAAAAAATTATCAGGACCGTATTTAAAAAACAAAAGTTGATGATGGTTCCACGAATACGAAACGTCGCATAAAAAAATCGGTATCACCACGTTAAACCTCATCAAAAGTTGCAATGAAAAAGTATTTTCAGTTTTTCTGTATCTCTGATAATAACGGAGAAAAAGAATAAAATAGAAATTCCAAAAATTCACTTTTTTCGATATAACTCAAAAACTAAAAATAATTTTCAAAATTTTCGAAGGCTTTTGATATAAGCCTCCGAATGCGCAACTTTTTCCCCATTTAAGCGACTTCGTATCTCCTACCGTTTCCGAGATCCCCATGCTGTTCAACCTTATCTTGGACAGACTGTATACAAAATCTAATTGGATTTGAATCAGATGAAGTATTGTCCGGTTTTGGTTTATACATATCATTAGTACCTATATGATATGTGAATTCATTACTTATTTTGTAAAATGAATACAGAGCGTGCCGAAATATCATGCGATTTGGTGTATGTGATTAACTCAAGATTGATGAAAATATAGGTGATTATAACGAAAAATTAGGGTCAAAATATTTTTCAGTAGGTTATGAAATGTTTCAGGAGATCATTATGCAAATCAGGAGATCTACTGAATATTCAGTAATACTGGCAACCCTGCGTCGTTCAAGAAGTGTTTGCGGGCAAAAAATTATTGTCTGCGGACGGACATCATGGTAGTTGCAGGGCTAATAGAGTGAGCCAAAATAATGTTAGTACTTCATATAAAAAAATGTCTATCGCACTTCGTTATGGAGTCATTGACCTTGGAAGTTTATATGCACTTGCAGAAACTATACATTATAGTCATTCATTTTCATTTGTATTTAAAAGGTTTCTGTGCTGTACGAATAACCATCATAAATTACGTCCGATTGCTCTCACATTTTTCAGGCACTTCTGGATTAGGATACTAATACACTATTTTTTTTGTTCGGAGTCTTGGATGAATCATTTCCCATAAGGTTCTTACTTGCTTCCTCGAAAAATTCTTCAGGCATTAGATTCCGTATTAAAATACACACGCGTTTATAAACAACGTTTATATTACTTCTGCAAAACAGACAATATTGTTCCCATTTGTACAGACTTACACATTTGATAAAATCGTAAAGAACACTCAATGGGGATTTTTGTATGGTACTTACCTATATAAGTACTTGTTACAATTCATCTTCTGTATGTTTACCTCAAAAAAACCCATTCATAATTCATCAATTATTCATAAATTCATAAAAATACATAACAATCATTTCAATAAAATTTATATCAAGTTGAACATTCTTGGCGTTTTAAAGGTTAAATTTCAGTAAAATATATAACAAAAAAGTTTGGACGGTGTCAATCGACTATACCCAATGGAATGTAACATATCAATTCTGATACTACTTCATATTACAAGCTATATTTACAAAATACCCAGAATGGAAGATTGTTTTCCAAATAGTTCATTATAATGAATAATGAAATAAGACCAACTCTATTATTTTCAATCCACAATGGCACTACCTTGAACAACAACATTTTTGAGGGATTTTCGAAATACCTACATGACAGTTTCTCAACAAAACGAATCTCGTTCTTCACTACAATGTATGATAGAAAAATATTTTGATCACTTTCTTCCTTACCTACCGCAAAATTTAAATTCGAAAAATAAATTATTATATTGACTAAAACTTTACAGCACATTTTCCTCGTTGACATCTTCTGCTATTATATATAGTAAGATGTAAATGATTTCCACTTATAGGTATCAGCAGTCTTCTTCAACGAGGTTTTGAGTATCCTTTCCAGTATCTCGTATAGCTGGGTCTAGTTCTCGATGTCGTACTTGAACTTGGGACGATGACACGTGTTTTATACTTGAGGGAGCTATGACTGCACTCGGAGGCTCAAGAAAAGTGTCTCCCTTTGATTTAGGCGTTTCTGAAGATACTTCATAAAGAGCTGTAAACATATAATAATAATTAATAAAGATGATTGTTCTTTGAAAACATACAAAATATTGAGTAATGAATACAAAACTCGAATCAAAATTTGTAAAACAGAAGCCTGCAAAAACTATTTATTGAACTCAACTAACGTCATGAGGGACAGTTGGCATTTGATAAATGATGAAGGGCATAGGAATAAAAAAAAACGATTGAGACAAAATTATCGGTGTCACAGTTCAATGAATACTTTACTTCAATTGCTGAGAAGATTATAAGCTCACTGCCTAGCATTCCTCATGAGCCCACAGTTTATTTAAGAGAAATAAAAACTCCAGTTCATTCTTTTGCTCTGAATCCAGTGACTTCCAGTGATGTCTATGATATTATATATACTCGGCCTTAAAAATTCCAATGCTTTTGCTTATTCTTGCCGAACAATTAGCTACTTTGATAAATGAATGTTTCTCTGTTGGAAGTTTTCCAAATGCTTTGAAATACACTGTTGTTTTGTCGGGATTGAAATAAAGAAGCACTGATGATAAGAATAATTTTCGTCCTTTATCTATAATACCAATTGTAGGCATAATCATAGAAAAAATTCTGAAGAAACCACTCTATAACTTTCTGGAAGAAAATGCACTAATGTGTCCTGGTCAATTTGGTTTTAGAAAATACCGTTCCACAACACAAGCTCTCCTAAAAGTTGTGTTGGACATAGTTGAGGGCCTGGAAGAAGGTACTCACTCTCAACTCACGTTGTGTGATCTTGGCATCGTAGGCTTAGCTCTGGATTTTTTTCAATCTACCTGAGAAATAGATCCCAGTGTGTTAGACGATGCGGTGCTCTCTCTGATCGAAAGGTTATTGAACACGGTCTTCCTCAAGGCTCTGTTTTGGACCCCCATCTATCCCTTATTTATATAAATGACCTCTATTATTTTATATCTCCGACAAAGACCGTTCTATTCGCAGATGATACAACATTCATTTGTCAAAGTGCAGATCTAAGCAGTTTATGTACGAAATCGAAAGCTATCTTGAATTCAGCACAAACTTGGTTTTCTTGTTACAAACTTGAGATTAACTTACATAGAAATCAATCTATCCTAGTCTCTCCGAAATCAAATATCCCTCAAGGCGATATAGTGTGAAATAACTTGGCGTGCAACTAGACGATAGGCTCAACAGGGCTCCTCATATCGAATCACTAGCGAAGAAACTATCTAGTATCACCTTTTTGATCCGACGGTTAAGGAATATTGTCAGTTCACATGTTCTCAGATCTTGTTACTATGGGTTATTCCATAGTAATTTATCTTACGGTATTTTACCATAGAGCTACTCCTGTAATTCTCATAAAGTTTTCATGTTGCAAAAAGAGTTATTAGAGTAATGTCAGGAGTGCATTTTCGCGAGCACTGGCACCCTCTTTTTGTGAGTTTCCAAATTATGCCACTACCTACACTTTTTGTTTATAAATCTTTAGGTACTCGAAATCCATGATAATAAAAACAATTATACGGTTCAATCCGAATTACACCCTTATTCCACTCGCAATGGCAACTTGATTATAATACCTAAGCTCAGGTTACAGATGTCAAAAAGGAACTCTGTGAATCTGCACCTCTACAACAAGATACCTTCTAAGGTGAGGTGCCTGAATTTTTATCTAAGAATAAAGTCAGAGCTTTCTTACTGAAAAACTGCTTTTATACGATCTGAGCATGAATGAACACGAACTTCAGTGATAGACACTTCCTCAGTTATACTTTTATACTATTTGTGTAGTTTTGTGATTATATACACTTCTGTTGTGTAAAGTACTATTTTATCTGACGATCAACTAATTCAATGCTATTAGTATGGAAATATCTATCTATAATTGTTTTGTTTTATTTTGGAGTAAAAGCATAGGGAATGCTAGGTATCTTGTATAGCTATCACCAGATCGTGTGAAATTCCATCGAATGACACGAGATGACTATTGAACTTATTTAAAGAATATTGGAATACTAAAAGGAAAGAATTTCACATATTTCATTTTACAATTAATAGTTTGTCAAGCAGATATTCTAATAACTTCAACGATACAAGCATCAGTTATCATTCTGATAATACCGTGTTTGTGAGAGATGTATCCCAACATCACTGATATTTTATTTGAATTTTCATTTCGATACTGAATAGGTATATTGACAAGTTATATTTTTATATTATACATCGATAATTTTTCCGATTTGAAAGAGAATGTCAACAAATGTTATTCAATGATCGAGGTGGCAAATATACCCAAGAGCGTAGTTGTTTTCTGTTGAATACACCGAGAAAGAATTGACATTTTCATCAGATAGATAATTCGAATTCTTAATGTATTTCTTGATATGTATCATTTTTTTTATGTTCATAATATATTTGAGAAAATTCCTTTTCAATACTTTTTTAAAATTTTGAATTCTTCAATGGGCTTATATCACGAAAAATTTTCATTTCCTAATTCGATAGAACTCACCCAAACTAGCTCACCACCGCAAACCGTTTCTTGCTGTGAGCTCCCTACGTTTTATAAAAAATTATTGAAATCCCCGATTTTCCGGACCTCTGAAAACGAGGCGATGATGTGACGTCAAAACCCTAATACTGAAACAAGACTATTCCAGACAGAGATGAATGATACATGATTTCTGACAAATCAATTCTAACCTAGACAAAACCTAGATTGACTTTTTGCAGCTCCATGTGAAACGGGTCAACAAAGCAATGTTGCTATGTTTATGAAATATATTGGATTATTGTGAAATTGTAATGGTGCAAATGGTTTTGAGATTGAGACATTTCGTTGTCTAGAGATTGTTTATACTCCAATGATTCAACCTACAATCGACAACTCGAATATATTTTTCTGCAGTAGTGGTAGTGGATATCAAAAGATATTTCAATATCGATTTCGATTTCTCGGATATTTTGTTTGGATGATATGGCAACAGTAATAAGTGTCAGGAGAGTGTCAGTTTCAACCATATATCTACTATTTCTATATATGGCGCATCGCCTATACGATATCTCAACAAAAATGGGACCAAAATGAGAGGTACTCTTTGAATCTATGAGAACGAAAAGTGAAGGATGGAAACAGCCATATTGGTTTGACAAATTTCCTATTATTTTTTCCCTACGTCGGTATCAACGCCTATTGGTCGATTTCATTACCTATAGAGACAGAAATGGGTCCCGCTTTGAGGAGAGCTATATGATTCATATATCAGTAGTAGATATATATGGTTTATATATATATATATATATATATGGCGAGATGGGGTTTCTACGTCATGAGAGGGTCTCCGTTTTCAGAAGGTACTATCATTTATGTCCAAAAATAAAACATTCCAGTTAATTTTTCGATCGAATGATGTCGTCAATCATTATTTATGTATAAAAGGATCATTATAAACATGGTTTGAGTTAGCTATATGATTCATATATCAGTAGTAGATATATATGGTTTATATATATATATATGGCGAGATGGGGTTTCTACGTCATGAGAGGGTCTCCGTTTTCAGAAGGTACTATCATTTATGTCCAAAAATAAAACATTCCAGTTAATTTTTCGATCGAATGATGTCGTCAATCATTATTTATGTATAAAAGGATCATTATAAACATGGTTTGAGTTAAAAGTTCTACTAAGGTGTACACGCCCATTGAATAAATGTCTCATATCTCTGATGACTATTCACCATAATTTTTTTAATTTGAACACTAATGTTAAAGTGATTTCGACATATAAGGGATATGTAGAAATGTCAGTTTTTACCTCATATACCTACCTATTTACTACCATTCATTTCCTGCTCGAAAATATCGCGAAAGCTCAAATTGAACTAGATATTTTCATGATTGTTTTCGAAAAGGTAGATAGGTTTATATAGGTGTTACATTCATTGACACTTAAATGATTGTTTTCCAATCGAGAACTCAACATTTGTATTTCATATCTGACAACCATAATTGTCATCTAGTGAGATTTTTCATTGGTAAAAAGCAGCAAATAAAAATATATCAAAGGCCGCAACGATCATTTTCATTTATGAAAACTCTGTACCAAACGCAGAAACACGCCACAAGTTATTGCATCCTCTATTAAGGCGGAAGTTGTGAAGACGTATGTGTTTGCATGACAACATAGTAATTCTAACGGCGTCTAATGACAGTACTGTTTGTATGCCATATAGAAATGATTAGTTTAGAAGCGGATAAAAATCACATATACTTATAAGTATATCAACTATAATATTTACCTCCACTACCATTAGTGACGCCCTCCTGATTATTTTGTACAGCATCATACATGGGATTGTGGAAATCTCTATTATTTCTGTTGACACTATCTAAAGTGTATGCAACATTACGAGCATCGGCTTCAGTGCTTCCACTAGAATTATTGAAAGAATTTGCTCCAAACTCTACGTTCGTTCCTTGTCTGAAAGACACACTTGGACTGCTCGCCAATCTACCTAATCCGGAACCCTTACTGAAAAGGAGGAAGATGGATATTGAGCGTTCATTAGATTAAATAGTATAATTATGAAGGGATCATTGTCAAAACTTTTTCCAAAATCTCCATCTCATTTGACGACTATGAGTATTTAATATTAAGTACCTAGATCAATCCACATAGCAAAAGGTTTGGTTATTATCTGAAATATCGCAGAAAATCCGCAAATACACCCCATTTCACCCACCACATTTAATCAGAAAATTCCATGTAACATAACAAGCCACAGTTACAGACGAAGCGACAATGATCGTGGGAAAATAAGTTTATAAAAAATGGATATCTCATGTGGAAAGAATCACAAACAAGATGGGAATGACAAAAATTAGAAAAACAGCGACGTATTCAATATTCATATTTTTTTGCGCATGTGATGTTCATGCGAAAAAACGATCGACTATTTTGTGTTCGTTCAACATCTTAAACTTCAGAGTGCGTTATTGTCATATCTTTGGCTTGTCATGTCCTTCCAATGAGTATTTATAATCATAAAGGATAAAGAATACAATGGAATGAATGAATAAAAGAAGTGTACAAAGTAATAAATACAAGGTGTCCTTCAATTTTAAGTCAATATTTCAGAAGCTGATAGGAGATGTGATAATTTAGAACCTATTGAAGCGCACTTAGGCACTTCAGCAGAAAGTCTTACAGTTGTCGAGCTATTTGTAATTTTGAACAACTGGCAATTGATTCAACAAATCAGTGTAAACTTGAAAGTCAGTGAAACCGTACAAATTGGTAACTCAATCAGAATTACATTTCAAGTTTGAAAAACATTCAATAACGTATTAAACAGAGAAAACTGAAATATATCTCATCATGCTTTAGTTTTCTTGAAAAAAAAAAATCATACGTCCTTTTTCGTAAAAACGGCACCATACAGGGTGACATCGAAAAAAGTACATTGCATAGTGCCACACAATAGAGGACACTAAAATAATAAAGAAAGTTTCCATGAATACGGGTCCGCAAGGCCTTCGGCTAAAATATACGGGGTGTTGAATTTAAATTTTTTGTGTTTTTTTTTATATCTTCAGCCAGAGATGCAAGAAATACAGGGATTTTTTAATGTAATCGTTGAAGTATTTGTGATTGTTTTTGTAAATGAATAGAAAAAAATAAAGATTCAACAACCCGTATCTTTCAACCGGACTTTGCGGACCAGGGTTCATGGAAACTTTTTTCTTATTTTAGTGTCAACTATTGTGTGGCACTATGCAATGTACTTTTTATTATGTCATTCTGTATACAGTTACGAATGTAGGTACATTTATGTATCATCAATGAAACAGTAACTATGAATACTTACAATGGCTTTCTTCTCATGAATAAATAAACACCAGTAGCGGCACCTAAGATGAAAAGTATAACCACGATCGGAATAATAATAGCTGATGTGTTACTGGATTCATTCGATGTGCTGTGCTCTGAATGGACATCGCAGTACTGTCCTAGATACCCCGGCAAACATTGGCAGATCAAGTCATCGTTATCGTCAGACTCTTGACAAATTCCACCATTTTCACATTTGCAAATCCTTGGTAAGGGCCTTTCTCTTTCTGAGGGCGCATCACAACTGATATCAGCTTTGATTTTTTGAGTCGGATTGGCAGAATCTGGGCAGGTGCATCTGTGGCCTTTGGGGACTATGAGACATAAGTGCGAGCAATCGCTGTTTTGGCACGGGTTGTGAATCGAGCTATTGTATCTGAGATCGTGATATACTGTAACCAATAAAAGATATATCAGATATTCGATGAGTAAGCAAAGAATATGGTATGATCTCATCAATTGAAATTCACTTTGATTGACGGAAACATTAACATAGTAGTATTGTATATTGGATATATACACGCGAAGTCACAAGAAAAATTGCTCAGTTTTTTCTGGAGCATCTTGTGATTGCGCTCATCGAAGTGCTTATGTTTTGACTAATGGGGTTCAATCTTTCATCCAGATAATTTTCCTATACTCAAAATTCGAATAATTCGAAAAATACTAGTGCGATTCTAGAACGGTTGATGTAGAAAAAATCATTGTAAATAAGAATCCGTACATTTTTCTGATCATAAGATTCAAGAAATTCACAGGCATATAGCGAATTCTAGCACCATCAATAGATATGTTCAAAGACAGTCAATAATCACAAGGAACATTTTTGAATTTTTTTCAGAGCATTTTATGGTTGCTTATTATGTTTAGACAAAGTATAGCGACAAAAAGGCACAGGATAAAATAGCGGCAAGATAAAATAGCGGCAAGATAAAATAGCGTCAAGATTAAATAGCGTCACGATATAACGACGTATTGAAATGGCGCATTACAAAATTCACGTAACTAAAAACGAGAAATTGATAAAAAATGCGAACATTGAATAACCAGTCTTGGATCATAGGAAATATAAGATGACCATTTTGTTTGGAATGCTGGACAGTGAGTTTATTTTCGGTTTTTGTGTTTGTTCAGGTCACAATATTCTCTTTTATTGAGCTAAAATACAGAAGTTGAAACTAAAGTATTTTTCACTGATTTACTGAATTTAATTCACCTAGTCCACCTTTATTAATAATCTTGCTATTTTAAAATTATTGGAAGAAGATCGAAAATCGATTTTTTTGAAATTCGATTTTTGTCTTTCGATTTTTACATGGATTGATTTTTCACTCTTCCGATCTAGATCGATTTCAGAAATCGATCTTTTTTCAAAAGCTATCCCTAGTTTCAAACAATGATTGAAAACCAGATTACTATGCAACCAAGAATGCATTCGTGTATCTCTTTAACGTGGGTGGAAAAGATACGCCGCATCAAAAATGGTCACACATGTCACATATCATAATGATTTTCCTGACTCTATACAAAATAAATATTCAAGACGAATATAATATTCTGTAAATCATTTGATAATCCTTCAGCCTCATTGTTTTTATAAAATATTATATCGAATGTGGGGCAATTATTCTATAAGGCGTCAATATAATCTTTATTAAAAAGAATCCGGCAATAACAAATAAAATCAATCAAAGTTATGTTACAAGAAACAAAATCGAGAATGTACGACTTGAAAAGATGAGCTTAAAATTTTAGAAAAACATTAGTTTTATCGGATCCAAATTATAGGGATTCTCTTTCGTACGCACCAAGCGATAAAAAAAAATAATGATAAAATACCATCAAAATTGAAACTTTCAAATGTCATAAGTTACAAAAAAAAAATTAGTTGGCTTATAGAAAAAGCAAAAAAAGTCGATGACATTCTTTAATTAACTCTTTTTATTCTTATTATTGTAGGAATTTAAGTATTGATATTGTGAAAAAACAATTTTAACATGAGATAATTCATCTCTTTCACGGACAGGTCACTAATTTATGTGATGGAGATACATAATGAAAAAATATGTAGATTTCACTTGATTCAATTAATAAATTAAATAAATACATATCCACAAAGTTTTTGTTAAAATTTTAATGGTGGATAGCATAATGGAATATCAAAGAGTCGAAAAGTCGGCATTCTGAGGTTTTTCTATAGGTGCTCGAAGAACTGAGATATTCAGATCGTACGATGACTTCCATCAGACTGATTAATGTAATAGGGTACGCCTGTCAAACTTCGTCAACTTTGCAATTATTATGAGCAATCAACGAGCTTGTGAAAGCATGAAAATACTCAAATTTGTTATTCGATAACATGTAGCATTATTGTTGTTATAATTATATATCAGAAATTATCTCCGAAGGTCGACATGAAAAGAATCAACCTCACATGCATAATAGATACTACAAGTGCCTCGAACATCTCATTTTACGCCCTTTAAAGAGTGAGGATACGATTGTCACCACTGACATTGTCTAATTGTCATCATTCTCAGATTTGAAACGTCAGTTCTGAAAATTGATCAGGAGTCCCCGCGAATATTTTCTTCGAGTATGTCTTGTTCGGTATCGAATAACAAAAATTCTAAGAATGATGGTCACCATTTATTTGAGCTGCCCAAAGACGAGAAGACATTTCAAATGTTTGTTAAAGCTTCAAATTTCGATATCCATTTTATGAAAATACATTCACTGATATAATATTGATATAACTATAAAATGAGCATAATGTTCCTTTGGTGCTGAGCCACTGTTAGGTCTGCACTCGTTTGATGAAGAGGCACAGAAAAAAGGTATTCACTGTCTTATAAAACATATTTGTGTTTTTTGTTCAGCTGTTCAACAACATGACAAGCGTGTCCTCACTCTTTAAAGAGCGTAAAATGAGATATTCGGGGCACTCTAGGTACTACCACCATAATCAGATTGAAATCTGAACCTACCTACTTTGAACGGATAAGCTTTTGATTTTACTCACCTTTCACACTCGATGGATTCTGCATATCTCTCTGAATAGTAACAGGAACTCCGCGACCAAATTTATCATGCTTGATCAACTCGCCAGTATTTCTCGTTATCCAGTACAAATTGGATTCGAAAACATCTAAAGCTACTGGATGCTTCAATATGTCTCCCCTAATCACAGCTTTCCTATTACTTCCATCGTAGTTCATACTTTCGATCACGTTGAGCTTAGTATCAACCCAGTAGATAATATGATCCATAGCATAATCAATAGCCAATCCAGTTGGATGTCTTATTCCGTCTGTAATCAGAGGTCGTCGTTTTGAACCATCCATCCAAGCTACTTCTATTTTTGGTGATGTTCCTGCATCAGTCCAAAACATTCGTCCTTTAACGGGATCAACAACTATAGATGTAGGATTTTCCAAACCTACACTCACCAAAGATCTTCGATATCTTCCATCAGTTTTTGCTACCATCACTCTTCCTTTTGGTTTAGAAACTCTATCAGTCTCTGTCCAGTACAAGTTATTGGCGACCCAATCAACACATAGAGCAACTGGTTTAGAGTTACCTTTCATTTCCAAGTCCTGTGCGAAACCAGCCTTCACTGCACCATTCTGTGCGTTGAGCATAAACGAACGTTTGATAGTTTTTTGTCTGCTATCTGTCCAAAATACCATCTGAGTCTTCGAATTATAGTCAATAGCATCTATTCGTTGCCCATCAGTGATCAACCCATCAACATCTTGTAATTTGAGATCGTATGTTCTTATTTCACCACCATTTCCTACCAAGATGGATATGTCTTCCTTGATAGCCTTACACACTCCTGACAACTGATCTGACAATTTGAATCCATCTTGGCAGGAGCAGGCGTAAGTTCCATTTAGATTAGTGCAGATTTGTGAACAATGGTGTGTTCGCTGAGCACATTCGTCGATATCGGAACATACTTTCCGATTCTCTTTGGATATTATGAATCCTGAATAACAAGCACAGATGTAGCCACCATATGTTAGGTTCATGCAATGGTGTTCACAGCCTCCACGTGTTACTTCAGAGCATACATCATTATGATGGCAACCAAGCTCATCAGAACTATCACCACAATCGTCAGCGAAATCACAGACCTGTTTCTTGTCTATGCACTTCTTATTAGCGCACTTGAACTCAGTCAGCGGGTCACATACCTTCATTTTGGTGGCACATAACGTCATATTGTTTTCATCAGAACCATCACCACAATTGTCTATGTCATCACAAAGTTGATAACGTGGTATGCACTTATGGTTGGCACATTGGAATCGTTTTAGAGTGTCACAATTGAAGTTCGTACACAAGGATGGCAGCTCATCGGAACCATCTCCGCAATCATCAGCCCCGTCGCATAAGTCAGCTTGACTAATGCACAAATGGTTGTCACACTGGAACCTAGAATCGGGACAATATTTTCCTCCAGGATACCTTGGAGGGCAGTTCTTCTCGTCCGACATATCTCTGCAATCTCTTTCGCCATCGCATCGGAAATAAGATGCGATGCAATGACCTGAAGCACATTGGAATGTGCCATTTTTACATTGGAAGCCACCACAACCACTTTCGTCGCTATTATCACCACAGTCATCTTCATGATCACACCGCCATCTTGAAGATATGCATTTGCTGTTGAGGCATCTACGAAAAAAAAACCCTATGAATGACTACATGGGGTGCGGAACATAAAAATTATTCAGGAAAGAATAATTTGCTTCCATGAAATATTGACCGTCATTGTCATCGCAATTTGTGAAGAATTATTTATATAAACTCAAAATATGTTGTTTTATTCATGTCAGGAAAAAATTTGAAATCAAATTAGCTTTCAATGAAGTCAATATAGTCCATACTTCTGGGACTAGACAATTGAATTACTTGAACATTGGCAAACAATCTATATTTCATAATGGAATAATTTTATACAATTCATTACCGAATGAATTGAAAAATATACATAATGTAACAAGATTTAAAGTCAATCTTAAACAATTACCTGGTCAGGAAAATTTGATTGAAAAATATTTGACATGATTTGATTACTCAGAATTGAAATGTTATAACTTTCATCTTAAGAAAAAGTATGAATTTGTTTTCACTGAGTGGAATTCATTAGTAAACATTTCAATATTATTATTGTTATTATTATTATTATTATTATTATTATTTCATGTGTTCATGTACCCTATTATAAACAGATATTTCTTCGGGTAATAGAAACAATTAATCAATCAAAATAAAAGGTAAACGGTAATTTTTGTTCGGTCTCAGTTGAGAAGCTGGAATTGGATAATTCATTTTATTAATGGTGGGGATATAAAAAAAATCTTACTGGAATTCCGATTCAGAACACTCCCTGAATACTCCGTTACAAACTTCTTCTAGTTCATCGGATCCATCCCCACAGTCATCAGAGAAGTCACATTTCCACTGCTTAGGGATGCATCTATTGTTTTTGCACTTGAAGTCAGTCTCCAAGTTACAAGCTGGACAATTCTCAGGAAGTTCGTCTGAGTTGTCCCTACAGTCATCTTTGCCATCGCAGAAGAGCCATTTTGGTATACACCTGGAACAGACGAATTAGGCTTATTATTAATTATCAACGCAGGAGATGATTGCATATGAGTTTCATTATCAATCACACTCGTCAAGGTTGAAGGTGGGTACATATTTTGGTTCACAGAAAAATTCTTATTATCAGATTACTGGTACTGGTAGAATTGGGAGACGTTTGCACGTCAGCAACTAATCTCTAATGGGACCTATCTGCAAGCCCCAATGTGTAATGAGTGATGTGGTTCGCTAAAGAGAGCTGGCTGACACCCTTTTCAGGTAGTTGATAAAATCATTTTGTAATCTTACAAACTTCCTCTCGTTCATTGGTGTCAATTCAGGATATATTTGGTTGAATGTTCTGCGAGTTTTGACAATGATTTGATCACATTGTCCGTGTATGTATGTGAACTTCGTTTGAATAATCGATATTGTCGAAATATTGTCCATAAGAATTACTGAATTACTCATCAACATCACCGAACTGCCATGTTTGATATTTCCATAGCTTCTTCATACAATTATATTTTTCACAAAAAGCAGCTTTATTGAGAAAACTTGATGATTTAGGTATAGGGACATGCTATGTCATCTTGTGACATTTTTCTTCGTCCTTCAATTTATTGAGTAAAAAACAGTGGGTTTCATTAGAAAAAATGAACTTTTGACCACTTGTATGAACAACGGATATAATAATAATGTCAGCACATTAAGCATATCCAAACCACCACTGAAATATCAACTCTTAGTAAATTGAAAGCCCTGATTTTCTTAAGTGCAATTGAAGACATGAGAATGATAAGTGGATAACAACCACTTTTGGTGAAATTCACTTCTTGTCCGATTTTCTTCAATAAAAAATCGCTCTATCGGTGGGTATGGAAAGGAAACATGTTACCTTGCCCCATTCGCCAGAAGATGGCAAGGAGGATTATCCGCTTTTGAATCTGGACTGACTGTTGCTATGCCGTTGCCATGAGAAGCGGATAACAACCACACTTATCCAGTTATCATACTCAACGGGTTCAGTGTTTTTTCATGAGATAATTTATTGTTTTCCTGAACGTGGACATTCATGTTTGCCTTGTGATTGTTCTTTCGGACAAATTGAAATATTCAAAAGAAAACGAGAATACATTTCCATTCCAGAAGAATGGTGTTCACTTGTTGCAAATGCCTCAAACAAATTTTAGGTAGTTAATGTAACTCAAGCATTGGTCAAAAACTATAAAGAAACAATTGAAGACTATTTCAAGCAGACTTTCCGAAATGAAGATGGAGCATTTAAAATCTCAAAATATGAAAGATTCAAGTATACTAGGGATAAGATACCGTTAACGAGAGTTGTTATTTTTTTAAAGTTCCAATCTGAACTCAGTTGTCTTTTTACGTAATGTTCTGATACTAAACTGACCTTTCGTATTCAGAATGCATAATTTTCTCCTTTTCAGCAAAATGAGAATGAGAGTGGATAAGTGTAAAACAGTTTTTTCAAAATTTTTATATTATTTTCGACTTTTTTTCAATTTTAACTTCTCCGACTTATTTCAAACTAGTTGATTAATATAGGTACCATATGGCAAAATAATATCAAAAACGAAAATCTCTAATTTCCACAGGTTTTGCTTGATTTTCTCGGAAATTTACTTTTGGCGCTAATCCACTCATCATTCTCATGTCTTCAATTAAGGATATGTTTTGAATTATATTTAACACAAAATATTTTTTATCTCGAAAACCGATAGAGATAGGTATAGGGATTTATCAACAAAAGAGTATTGTAATGAAAAGGCAGTTCTGAAAATTTATTAATATACGGGGCGTTCCATTTGCAAAACGAAGTTGCTAGGACTTTTTGATAGAAAAAACAACGTCGCAATTTCGAAAATATTCTAGATCGATAGAACAGGCGATAGAATGTAAAATGCGAAATTTTCAGAAAAACCCTGCGTTGCGTTCTCCATAAATGTGTCATGCATTTTATAAAAAGTTCAAGTTTTGTAATAGTCATTTCTACGCCGATCACACCTATATTTATCATTTCCCGAATCTGAACTTTCAACTGCTAATTACCAAATTAACTCAGATTTGCACTCAATCCTATCGATTTCCAATAAGTTTTGCTTTAGTATCAACCCTTCTAAGTCATTCGTCATTCTCCTAGGTAAACAGCATTCGGGGGAAATAACTATTCACAGTCTGTATATTAGGATTAATGATGAATTAAGAATGCACAACATTTAGGCCTTATATGGATTCCTCACTTGAGTATAACGAGCATATTAATATGATCATAAAACAGTCTTATTATAATTTGAAATTAATTTATTCCAATAGAAGTATTTTGAATATAAAAAATGTAAAATAACTCTATGCGATGCTTTAGTACTCTCTCATCTCAACTATGGAGATGTCATTTACGGCCATGCCATATCAAAGTCTAATCTGCGACGTTTGCAACTAATTCAGAACTATCTCATATCCGTCTGATTTGTGGACTGAGAAGAAGAGATCACATCACAGAACGATTGAATGATATTGGGTGGCTTAGTAGGTATGCGAAAAACGATTTATTTACACTCCTGTAGTTTGTACCATAAAATAATAGTAACCAGAAAATCGGCATATCTGCACAATAAAATTACCTTTCGAACAGATGTTTATCACCTCAATGTGCGGTTTAAGTTACGCTCAACTCCCCCTCTTCATTCTACATCTCTGTAACCAGGCTTCACAATAGAATACCCGATTAAATCAAATGAAAATAGCTGCCGTTATTTAAGAGGAAACTCAAAAATATACTTTCAACAGACATAATATCATACCAGTGTTCACTTGGATGCAATTTTTTTTCTCTTCAGTTTAACGTTATTATAGTTTTCAGTATATTTTTATATCATTATGATAGTGTAGGTTGAGTGGAAGAGAATGCTTACTCTGCCTTTGACTGCAAGCATTAAGGCATTTCATATTATGGATAACCAAACAATTGTTCAATTGTAATATCATATACATTATTGCAGTCAATCGAAGCATAAATTAACAATATTATTATTATTATTATTATTATTTCGGGGTTGACAACGAAAGGATGTGCTTGCTGGGCTTGTCGAGTTCGTATAATTTATAAAACCGAAGCGACAATCCGGAAACTGACTGATAAAATGATATTTCTGATTACTTTTCTTGGAGATCGGTCAGTTTTGAATAGTGATGGAAAAACCACTTGAAGAAATGAAATTTCGAATTTATGAACTTTGATATTTTTATATCCTTTTTGACATACAGTGATATTGTTCTAGAATTGTTTGTGATCATATCTCTGTTCTTGACACTTTCTTAATCAATACTACATGAACCACATTCTAAGATAGAGCTATGGTTAATTGAGTGAAATCGATGCATTTTGAAAGATGGCTTCTGTGGAAAAGTAATTCATTCAAGCCTTGTCTACATTACACGCAGTACAATAAAGATAGAGAGTAAGTATATCTTCATGAGTTAACACGATCTATATATGGAGAGCTAAAAGGAGTATGATCCTGAAAATTGGTAGTAACGTTGAAGGAAACGTGGAGAATCCAACTAAAATATTTTCGTTATTGGGAAGCTTCCGGTTTCAACAGAAGTGACTTCATCTTCATTATTTTCAATAGCGAGGGACCCCTCTTGATTTTGATTCGAATTCATGTATGATGCCCTATACCTAAAATGAACCGTTTTTGAGTTATTCGAGTTTTTTTAACAAAGTGACATCTATTTCATTCATTTATTTTTGAAATATTATTATTACATATAATCAAATTTCCAAAATTTTTGAATTCTAATCAACCATGATTCGATTTTTTTCTTGAATTCAAAAAAACTGATTTTGTTCATAGAAGGAGGCAATTTTTTGTGAATTTAAGTTTTACATGATTATGTAAATAATTTCTTATGTAAATTGTTGATGTTTGATAAAACAATTGATTAACAGATAAAATGTTATAAAGTTCAAAGAGGATTTTGGAAGAATTATCGAAAGGTTTCTCGAAGATAATTTTCAAGGTATATTTTTGAATTGATATAAGTGGTTTCAGCGCTTTTTTATATTGACCTCCCCAGCCTATTGAGCCATAAGCCGGAATAGAAATGAAAAATTCTTTAATAGAAACTGATAATCAATTTCCGACTGACAATGTTTCTCAGAGTAACCTGAATTTATATAGTGTTTGTGTCAATACATCAATTTTTTTTTATTTATTTATTTATTTATTTATTTATTGAACAAATAACTTCCAGACAGAGGCTCTGGTATAAGGAAGTACATAATTATATACCTATAGGTAAACATATCATGATTCAAAATATATCAACAACTATAAATTGGCAAACAAAAAATAATATTTGCAAAAAAGGCATGATTAATTTTATCAAGTTCGCTCAGAAATAATCAGTTTTTTTACTTCATTTTTGAATGTACCTATATTTCTGCAATTTTTTATATTGTCAGGTAGTTTATTGAACTTATGGGTTTTGGGTAAAGGGAAGTTAATTTTTCATAATAGAATAGAATTACGAGAAAAAAGGGTTTCCATTTGAAAAAAACAAATCAATATTTCACATTCACTTCCTGGATCCACTTTTCTGCGCACCTTGTAAATTATTCAGTGGTTGTCATCATGGTGAGTGATCATGGTGAGTGATCCGTTCATTTACATGAAAATGGTGTAGGTTCCATAGGCTGCATCAATCAATTTCTCTAGGAAAACTCGAATAACTCGAAACCAGTTCATATCAGGTGTTAACGCCTTATATATTTCAAGTTATTCTTCTTCTTCCATTTTTCTTGTAGATTGAGTATTAAAAAAGTATCAATTTAGAATGGGAAATACTGAGAATAATCTCATTCTTTTCTCATACATTCAAAAGGATTGTGCTCCTAATTTTGTGCGTCTAGTTTATATCTTTGCAAATGCTCAGTCAAAATCTCGGCAGAATGCGACACCTATCGAGAAGATTTTCAAAAAGGTGAAAGGAGATAGAGTGAGACGCGAGTTGAGCTGTCACGAAGAAGGAAGACACATCACTTCCTCAAGTTTGGTTGACCGGAAAACATAGTGATCTCGCTCATACTCGACATCGTGAAAAGTTCTATACTGTGCCATAAACCTCGGGAACCAGCATGCCGAGTTCAGGACAAGGTGGTTGCAACCACCGGAGCAAATAGTAATTCAACTCCGGAAGGGATAAGACAGGTAGGCCCATTTAGCTGTTTGTTTGACAACAGCAATTTAACCTGATTCCAATCGTATGTTAAACATCAGGTATAGGTTATGTTATACATGGATTTGGATCAATATCAAACGAGGAATTCGATAATGTTGTGAAATAAAGGGTATTCTATTGGAAATAACGAAGATGATGTCACTTCCGGAGAAACTGGAAGCTTCACAATAACGAATATATTTTTTCGTGCGAAGAGTGCAACTTCGCAGTCGTTACCTATGGCAACGACCGCCATAGCAATGGCTGCCAAACCAAAGCTCACTTTCGAATCCGACATTCCTAAATTACGACAATAGGACAAGATTATATTCAGTGTCAGATCATATTTTTGTTTTGTCTGCAAAAACTCAAAATATTTTGTATTCATTAAATATGTCATTTCAATTAGTTCAATAATTTTGACGATTGCACGAAAAACAGTGTGTATACCAAGGCCGCAAAACTTTTTGGCGACTTCAAGATTATCTTGCCTCGGCCGGGCGGCGATAACTTTTCTTTTGGCACGCAAGAGTAAGAGAGAGAGATAATGGTATCAAATGATTATACAAACCTGTAGTTGGCTCGTCCTGGACATCGCTGCCATCCTGTTGTGCAGTTCTTTTGTCTGCACATATAGGCTGGTTCATCAGAATCATCCCCACAATCATTATCAAAATCACACATCCACAGTTTAGGTATGCATTTTCCATTGCGACAAGGGAATTCTGTATCTGGGTTGCAAGCGCGCCTATTACATATTTCAGGATCCTCGTCAGAGCCATCTTTGCAATCTGCGTCTCCATCGCACTTCCAACTATTTAGTATGCACCTAATCAAAACAGTAATAATTTTGATGATGAGAGGCAAATATCAGGTAGACAGTAGCGAATGAAATTCCTGAAGAATTGAATGAGAACCTCTATGGAAAAATCATGACCATCACTTATTGGTAGCATACAAGTAGGAAATTTATTCAGACTTGCGAATACGAGTTCTCTGAAATGAGACGCTCATATTGTAAAAATTGTACCGATTATAATCATCTTAGACCGATTAGAATTTCTAAGAAGACATGGTAAACTCCTGATATAATTTTCAGTATGTAATAGATAGGTATTCATGTATCAAGAGCGTAGAATAGACCTTAATTGATCGAGCGAAGGGAACTAATATATTATCCCCCTTTTTTTCATGTTTTGTCCTCTTGATAAAAAGTTATCTTTCCTGGGCCAAAAAAAGATAACCAATCAATCAATAATCATTATGGAAACTTCGCTATCACAAGTTTTTCTGGAAATATTCTATACCAATATTGTATCACTCACCTTCCATTGGACTTGCATTTCATTTCAGTCTCAGGACACTCTTTATTGCAATTTTGTTCATCTGAGTTATCGCCACAGTCATCCACTCCATCGCAAATTGTTGCTGAAGGAGTGCAGTTCAAATTCTTGCACTGGAAAGTACCTGCTCGACATTGCCTTGGTGGACAAGTTAGAGGCTCATCAGATCCATCTTTGCAATCTTTCTCACCGTCACATCTGTAATGAATAATATTTACTGTGAAGGGAAATATCACAATTACTTTGTGATCATGATGTGGTCTGATGAGTTTCAATAAGTGAAATATTACTTCATCAACTACTTCGGAACACACCATCATTCATCATGTTAATCTGAGAAATCAATTATCATCATAACAATAATCAGATTAGGAAAATGTGTGCTAGTGAAGGAAACCACGGTACGGATTTTTCAATTTTCCTCGATGCTGAAGCATCTCGGTAACTGATACGGCTTGAATTAGAAAAATGTTATCTGTATCTTTATCTGTATCAGTGATACAGATTTCGTTAAATGATTCATTTGCATAACTCTCAAATGATGAAGAGACCTGCACAAATCGCATCAGTTAGGAAGAATTTATTAGGTAATTAGGTATACTGTCTAAGATTTAGCACCAATTCAGGCTAGTGAAAGATTAAATCGTATGATTCATCAGAATCATAGCTTCAGAAAGTAAGATATCAGACCGATTCAATTCATCGTGAATTTGACAGAATAGTAATACAACTAATCACATTATATTGGCATAAAAATTGTACTTTATACGTGATCGATGACTATTGCAAATTATCAAATCAGTACCATACTGAATCCGTAGTTATGAAGTTACCAGAGACAACTACATATGCTAGCATGCAGACTTGTTGAAAATACATTATCTGACCAGTATGCGATGTAATCCTTCTCATTGAATACTTGAACTGTTTCGTGAACTTTTAGGACTTCTATAGGGTCAGTCGAGAAATACTTTGAAATTCGCTATTGTGTCGTGTGGTATAGCGGAACATAGTTTCACATTTGTCCATAATGATGGTGGTAGTTTCAGATCTCATTTACTATACATGACTCCAAGATTCAATACAGTTCTAGCTTGAAAAATATGTTTCAGAAAAATTACGAGTTGGTTCGAATTTTGTGAATGAGTAAATAAAATACTTACTGCCAGAACCAAGGTATGCACTTTTCATCATTTCCCTTACACTGCCATTGTCCAGTCGTACAGTTTGCAATACAAGTCTTCCTGTCGTTGGATAAGTAGTACTGATTTGGACAAGCACACTTGTGAGCAGTTTGGCCCTCTTCACCATAACCATCAATATTCAGATAACTAGAAGCAGGTGGCGGAGATATCAGGCATAGGTGCGAGCAACCTCCGTTGTTATCCCCACAAGGATCATGATATGTTAGTTGTCTGAGACGGTGGAATATGTGGATATCATATGGTTTGTGTGTTGTATTTCGGAGGACCATTAAATCTTTGCCTGTGAACTTATTTGCTCTGCTAATGGCTTTGAGGTTCCAATCAGTCCAGTAAATGAAGTCATCGAACAGGGAAATTGCGAAAACATGCGGAACAGAGTTTCCTGATAGAACAATATGGCGGTGTTTACCTTCCAAATTAGAAAAGGCAATATAATCTAAGTGAGCATCTGCCCAGTAAAGACGATCTGTGAAGTAGTCAATAGTCAAAGCATTCGGCCAAGCAATGTCATCTTCCCAATTCAAAATCATAGTAAAGTTAGATCCATCCATGCCCAATTTTCCTATAAATGCTTGTAGATGCCAAGAACTGAAGTACAAGTACCCTGTACCTGGATGCACTACTAAGGCTCTAGGATCTGGAATACTGTTTCTCAAAGTTTTTCGATTCGTTCCATTCAATTCTGCAACGTCCAGGTTTTTAGAATGCCTATCAAGCCAATAAAGTTTCCGACCAATCCAATCAATAGAAATCCCTTCCAATCCATGCGAATCATGACGAATGACAGCCTCCTTAGTCTTACTTCCAATAGGACTTCTAAATATGGTTTTCGCTGTAACATCGCAGAAGTAAAGGTGCTGGTCTTTCATGTCATAATCTAATGCTACGACATTCATGAAGTCCTGATGGATCAAATTGTAGACGTGTGCATCTACTGACATATTTCTGATATAATATTTATTCGTGAATATGATCCACGGTTCAACTTTGTCTTTGCGTTTGCAAGTATGTTCGTCACTTTCCCTCTCGTAATATTGGTCATTGCATTTGCAGTAATAACTGCCTGGAGTGTTCGAACAGTATTGGGAGCAGACTTGAGGTTTTTCTATGCATTCGTCGATATCCGCACATGCTTTTCCATCTTCCAATAATCTGAAATTTTCGAAAAAAATCTATGGGTACGTACAAATCATTTTATCTGAAACATTATCGAATGATAATATTTCGTTGAGTTCAATTCAATCTCATCACTTAGGAACCTAATTAGGGATCCTTTCAAAAATAATCTTTCAATAATTTTCATTACTCCATTCTATAACTCAATGAAAAAATCTTACTTGTATCCCTGGTTACATTCACAATTGTATCCAGTGGGTGTGTCGATACATTTGTGGCCACATTGATGAATTTCAACTTTAGCACATTCGTCAACGTTACAGTGCAGAGGTTCATCTGAATCATCTGAACAGTCGGATACTTTATTGCAAACCAAGTTATAGTTAATACACTGCCCATTCGAACATCTAAACTGCGTCGGATCGGCACAAGTTCTATTTTCTTTATCTGAAGAGAAAAAAAGTACTAGTTGAGTTAGAGATCATGTAAAAGAGATGATATGGGACAACGCTTATGCTACTAAATCAAATATAAGAACTTACTGCAATTAACTTCGTCTGAATGATCACCACAATCGTCTTCCCCATCACATCTGTATTGGTTTCGAATACATTTGAAGTTTTGACAAGTGAACTCATTGGTTGAACAAGTTCTATATTTCGAACTACATTCTTTGCCTTCATCAGAACCGTCTCCACAATCGTTATCGTGATCACAGACCCATCCCTGAAAAAAAAAATAAAACATCATTATCTTCATTATCATTATCCTCTTCATGTACAGGGTGAGTCGAAAATGTGTACCGAGCTTTCTGAAGAGGATAGTACATTGAAAAATAAGTATGGTTTGATAAATAAACTAATGGCCCAAAATGTATATCAAGGGATATATACTTCCAAAGGTGATCAAATTAAAATAATTTTTTCGCATAACTTCAAAACGGTAGAAGCCACCAGATTGAAATATTCTGCATGAATGTATGTTGATGAGATAATTTTTTCTCATACAGTATTACATTCCTAATATTGTATAAAGGGTGTTTTTAGAGGGCGGGTCATAATTTTTCGAACTTTTCTCCTCGTATCCTTTTTGGTGAAAAAATAGAAGCATTTGATAAAAGGAGAGAAATTACATAAAAATGGTATTCCTATTAAAATACAAAAAATGTTACCGTTTTCGAGATATTTGAGTTCCTGTAGTGACATGATATCTGCAGATAAATTTTTCAGTAACAATATTTTAGGAGGCCTCGAACTTCTTGGCCGGCCACCATCTCTATTTTTTTTTTTAAACATTCTTCTTCACGCGATCGTTGCAACATCTTCAAATTTTTTCTAGAATTCGAAACGTGTTGAGCGGGAAACATTTCAATAGCATGATAGGGTGCCATTTCTTAAAAGCCTATCAGTTAGAAATCACAGTAATTTTACTAACCCAAAGAACAATATTGGTCAAGGCCTCCTAAAATATTGTTACCGATAAGTTAATCTGCTAGTATCATGTGACAATAAAAACTCAAATATCTCGAGCACGATTACATTTTTCGTATTTTGATAGTAGGTAGAATCTTTCTTGTGTAATTTTCATTATCAAATCTCTATTTTCATGGCATTGGGGAATCAATGGGTATAATCTATTTTACAAAGATCACTAGAGATATGTTTTCACTAGGTCTTCCATTTTGTTTTTTATCCTCCTGTGCATGATCCGTCTCAGCCGTCATTTGTTATTGTAAGATGTGTAGTGAACAATTGAATAAATAGAAAGTTGTATGAGGGTATTATTTAATCTCATCAAATCGAAATAACGAATTTAGTTGTATAAACTGATATATTCCTCTTCGAGAACATCCATCGTGGATATGTTTCAGAACCTCTACCATGAAGTTTCAGTCTTAAAAGCAATCTACTTCTACATCTTTCTTCTCACCTGAGTATTTTTGTAGCAGGCTAGGTAATAATATGCAGTTGTGATTTTTAGGTTACTTGGAATTCACAAATAGTTCATTCCAGATACCAAAGAAGAGAAGTTCTCGAGTTTTTAGCCATGTTCCAGACATTCTAGACATTACAATATCAATCAACCGAAACGGAATTCGATGAACTCTTGGCTGATTTACCAGATATTTCAGATCTGGATATATGTATATAACTGAATGTGAGAAATTTTAATTATTATTATTTTTATTAGTAAAATAATATTTCCTATATGTAACCCCTGTGTAAGAAAGAAACACTAAAAATGACCTTTGAATTGAAGTACTGCTTCGCAATATCGGCGGCGTTGAGTTGGCCAGTGGAGAACTTTTGTGATTTACCATTGAAAAATGCCAATATCAAGCCAATGATAGTTCACTAGCATGACATTGCTCTAAGAGTTAAGGCCCATGTATCAATGTTTGCTGGGACCCTTTATAACGATAACATATAAATGTAGAAGGGTATCAGGAGAATGTATTTCAACAACATACATTTATGCAGATAATCAGATACTTTCAATCTGGTGGCTTTCACAATCGAACAACAACTTTCAGACTTCACCATTTAGAAGTAATGCGAAAAATCATTTTAATTTCATCAACTTTGGAAGGATATATCTCCCTCGATATGCATTTTGAGCCATAAGTTAATTCATCAAAGTATACTTATTTTTTAACGTACTATCATCCTCAGAAAGCTCGGTACAAATTTTTGACTCATACTGTATATTATGTCATCATCAATAACACCCCCAATAATCGATTACTATTTTCGGTATTTCCAGAGGTAGATGCGGGTCAAGATGAACTTCGAGGACACATTTTTTAAAGTTGGAGATAGCTCTAGAAGTTTCCTATTTGATGACTCATTTCAATAAATCAATTCAAACAAAAAAATTGTATGATTTACAATTGTTTGTCACATCTTCATCTCAAACAGGAAGAGTACATTTAAGGCGGGCCTTTCGCGACAGCTTTCCGACCGAATATAGCCTATATATATATACTAGTTCAACAACTATTTCTAGGTGTCAGTGTGATGTCGAAATCGGAATAAAATAATTAAATTAGAGCTTTCACAGCTATTGTAGAGTTCTTCGATTTCGTCTGTTACAGCAGGTCACCAATAGGTGGCACACAATTGAATGCAATCGTAGGTAATTGTATTATGTACGTGCAGTGTTGCCAGAGCTACTGCTCCACGGGCCTGCTCAACATGATTCCACTTTTCACTCCATTCAAGTCAAGCAAATACCTATATCTCGCTACAATGAAAATTTATGTCATGAGTCATTTTTGAAACTGTCTTCACAAGTAGTCTTTCGAATATTTCTTTTCCTTTTTAATTTCATTTCCTACTAATATAACTTATCATTATTCGAAAACCCCCAGATACCAATTTTGAATGATATCTGACCAATCTGTTCTGTTCAGCACCAAAACATACGCTGATGCTCTTAGATTCCATCCAGAGAAGAGCCATTCGCCTGGTGGGTGATGCCACACTCACTCACTCTTTGACATCATTGGAACACCGTAGAAAGGTCGGCGACCTTTCACTTTTCTATCGATACTTCCACAGGAAATGGCTATCATCCCTCCACTAGCAATACCAGTCAGACGAAGTAGACAAGCCCAGTCAGCACATCCTTTCGTTGTCAACCTCGAAAGATGTCGAACAGCACTTTATCAAAACTCCTTCATCCATAGAACGGCTAGGCTCTGGAATTCAGTGCCCGAGGAAGTATTCCCAACAACATATAATCTCCAGAAGTTCAAAAAGAAACTCCAATACTACCTCCTGTCCCTATCCTCCCTAGGAACGCACGATGTTCTTTGAACATTATAGGGATTTCCCTTCGTGCGCTCCAAGCGATAAAAAAAATAATTACAAAACTCGTCCGCCATAATGGATCAACCATTTTGAATTTCCTTATTTCGATGAGGAAATCATAATCTCCGACCTCGAAAACCCCCAGATACCAATTTTGGATGGAATCTGACCATAATTACAAAGCTCGTCCGCCATATTGGATCCGCCATCTTGAATTTCCAAAATTTGACGAAATATTCATAATCTCCGACCCCGAAAACCCCTGAGTACCAATTTTGAATGAAATCGGATAACTATACTCGGTCGCCATATTGGATCCGCCATTTTGTATTTTCTATTTAAAAAATAGATTACGACCGATTCTCATACCTACCGAAAACGCACAAAAAATTTCATACGAATCGGTCGAGCCGTTTCGGAGGAGTTCGACCACTATGACCGTGACCGTGACAGGAGAATTTTATATATTAGATTTGTTCGTCTTACAAACACTCGGAGAACCTCCCCTTGAAATATGCCCAGATAATTGAATAATACCCTCTGTATTATCACGTCGCCTAGATTTCATAATATGTCCGAGTAATATGTATAACATTGGCAACGGTGTAAACGGGTTTGAATTCATCATCTCTCCTAAGCGCCATCTGCTTGCAATACAATGCACCATTCCTCTCTGCCGCAGTCTGTCATTCCGAACACTGCCATCTATCAGGTAGTGCCTGAACTACCACATCCTAGTTTCCTGCATTATATTCTTTCAAGAAATGGAGTTTACCGAGATCAGCTGGGATGAATGGATATTTTGTTGACAGAATAATCGTTTTTGTTGCTTCCTGTCCGAATGGAAACATTTCAAGAGCTGATATTTCAGTGACACCTCGCCGAATTTCCAACAATTGTACTGAGATCGAAAATATTTCAATTTGAGACAAAAAAATTTCAACGTTTTCGTTTTTCAAAAATCTGTATCTTCTATAAATAAATGAGTTTCGACTCCGTATGATAACCAGGCCCTAGTCCCAACCTTCTTCTTTACGATGATTTAATCAGTTTTTCAATCGAATCATTCATAAGCCCAAATAGCAACAACTAGTGCAGGCCTGCATGTCGATTTGGTTGAAACTCTCCTCTTAATAATGCATCTAAACAAGAAAAATACCTAACATACTTGAGGCAACGGTGTCTTCAGTGCCACTAGTTTTAGAATAGAAGATTATAAAAATTTTAAAAGTTGTCATATCCCCATATCGAATTCATCATGATCTTACAAATATCTGAACAAATATTCACCGATATCTCTGATGATACCCGGATTCCTTAATTTATCAGGGGTTGAAATCAATATTATATGTATAATTGAATCATTTTCAATATTCATCTGTTTTATCAAACATCTCTGAACCAAAGAAGAACCTGAGAGTGTCAACTGTTACTCCACCAGCTCTTATACATGTTTCTCGAAAAGATTTTTTATCATTTACTCACTTTATTGATACATCTTCCATTAGTACAATTGAACTGATCTTCACTGCAGGGTTGTGGAGTTGCGCACTGATGCAATGTGGCATTTTCATCAGCGCCATCTACACAATCCGGATCTCCATCACAAAGCCATTTTTTTGGGATACACTGTGCCCTACCCCATTCCTTATTTGCTTCACAAGTATATTCGGTTTCCTCATCACATTTTCTATCATCTACAAGAAATATTTTAAAATATTTTTTGACACTGCATATACCTATATTCTGTAAGCACTTACTGCATTCATGTCTACTATCCTCATCACTGTTATCTAAACAGTCATTATCGCCATCACAAATGTAGATTCTAGGGACGCAGTTTCCATTATCACAAGTGAATAAATCCCCGAAACAGGTTCTCCCATCACTCTTACAGTACTCTGGAGGTTCATCAGCTCCGTCTCCACAATCGTCATCACCATCACAATACCTAAATTGGATATATATTCATGGGTTTTCATAATTTGACTATCATACCAGATGATCATTTCAAGGAGAACAGTCCTATATCTTGCTAAACAAAGATTACTTGTCTATCTGGAGTGTATTTATGGATAATCTTTGTAGTTGATATTGAAATTATTATGCTGATGATTTCCCAAGAACTTCTTCATTATTTGAGCTAGGTATCAAACCGTCCGAAAATATGTTCAAAAACTTTCGGGCTCACCAAAAATCACATAATAGCTTTCGACATTTTCATAAAATACTATGTGATTTCTAAATAAATATTGAAAATCAATGAAATCTGAAAAAATTATAATTATAACCATGATTCTATATTTCTAAATAAGTCAATTATTTATGTGGAAAAAAAAATGAGTAATGACAATATAAATACTCAGTTTCATTTGTTTCCATTTACATTTAAAGTCAATGTTTCATTGGGAAACTCTTCAGCATTGATTGGCCCTCAATACTGAAGTGAGAAATATAAGGGGATCGATTTGAATTTCGAAAGTTGATGTCATTTGAGGTGAAAGCGAAAGTTGGAAAATATTTTCATAGATTATAAGATAAGGATAGATATACCTATCAGTTTCTCTTCTAGAAAAAAATATATTTTAGGTATCAGCAAACATTGAACTAGCGGGAGAAGTCCGGCCTAGTGCAGGTTAGTCTGGGAAAGTGACGATGTCGGGGTATAGGTAATGGGCCGATGATTTTCCCATGCCAAGTAACCATCAGTTGAAAATACGATGATGGCCTTGTGATGGTAAGATGTCTGTAACTAATTGAATACTAACGAGATCTGGCCCTTTGCTGGCCAATTTCATATTCACTACCCGTCCCCCTGGCGGATGTTTTGGGAACGTCTACATCAACAATCAGCTGATCAATATCATATGTGACTAAGATGGCTGACTCTCGTGAGTGGTGATCGCGTACTAGTTTGTTTATGTCGAATTGATGTGGTCCTCTCTTTCCGTGGTGGTTATTTATGATGGCAGGAGTATTCTCAGTTGATAATAATAGAAGACAGATTCTTCAATTATGATAATATTGAGTAAGTATCAATGTACCTACATAGTGTCTTGAATGTCATTATTTGATGCATGTGTTTGATATCTCGTAACCTTATATACCTAATGATTATGATAATTGGAGTTAAGAGTTAACTATACTTCTCTAAAAGCAACCATCATTTTTAAATCGTTTGTGGCTATCAAAAGCAATCTCAGGTTATGTGAACCTATCTCTATATTGAATAACTGAATAACAATAAGATTTCAGCTACAGAATTACCTGTGCCAACACCATAATAAGAATTGAAAAGCTCCATGTTATCACGTCATTTGACTATATTATCAAGTTATAAACTCATGCAACTCATATACCACTAATATAAAACAAATGATGCATTTTATATTTCAGAAGTACCTCACAACGAAGAATCAACTTCGAAGGAATGCTACCCAATAAGATGTAGATACCACACACCAACCAGTAAGCAGTCACTCCGAGAAGATTCATCGTTGAAGAACAGAGAGGTTAAGAAGATATCATTGTGTCATTCTTAAAATTGTTTTCTTGAAATCTGGTATGTGTCTGATTTATGATGAGAGGGTTATGTTGTGAAATAAAGAGGTACTAGAACTTTCAGATCCATTGGACCCCTAAAACCCCTACCCCTCCCCTACCTCGATAGTATGTAACCAATGTCGTTAATTGGCCATTACAGTCCCATCATTTATGTATATGCTGGGCTTGCTATGGGAAACTCATTGTGTCGATTATGTTGTACTGGCCTTTTGCCGGGGAACTGAATATGATTGCTGGGTACCCAGCACTGGGACCAGCTGCCGGCCGCAGTGTACTGATATATAGAGTCCCGCATATGGGACTATTTACTGGGCCGCTGATGTCAGGTATGGGAAAAATATACTAGGCCATTGATGCCCCATATCAAGATGTTTGCTGGGATAGGTTCTCTGCAGATACTAACTATACATATATCGTTAAAGAGATAGATTTTATTAAAGAAAAACTATAGGTGAATATTGAAGAAAATAGGTACAATTATTAATTACTCCATATGCATCTTAATATTGAATACTTCATAAAAATTGTTCTCAAAAGTCTATGGTATTTCATGATAGGATAGAATATTGTATTGTCATTAATTGATATATTTCATTCCTAATCGTTTTCCCCAATCGTGAATATAAAAAAAATATTCATTATTTTTCTAACTGACTACCGAATATGATTTCGTTATTTTGAAAAATGATAGAGTTATCGATTCTCAAAAGAAAGGTACAAACTAGAAAAAATCGAAATACTCCGCATATTTCGAGAACGACTAGACTTAGATATAGGAAAGGCTGGTGAATATCATCCTCAGATAACATAAGGGATCTGAAAAAGCAATAAAAATACAGCTTTTCTTTCAAGAGAACGTAGTTAATGTTCACTTCCGGTATAACCGGAAGTGCCGCCACCTTGAAATTATTTTCATTGGACAAGACCCAACCGATAACTCCTCTATACAAATTTTCAGGTCATTGTCATCTTGAGAATTCAAAATACGTCAATAATAACATCAATTGCATAATTCTGAATATTCTCAGAATATTCGAAAAGAATATTCTGAGAATATATCGCATTGATTGTTCACAGAATAGATATTGGTTGCATGATGAGAATATTCTATGATCATTCTGAGGACATTCTATCAGAATATTCTGAAATTAGTATATTCGAACATTTTCATTCTAGAATTTTCCATTTCAGAAGCTCATTGGAAGATATCTTCAGAATATCCAGAATATTCACATGGATGTTCACACTATTCTGATAATATTATTTCATGAACATTCTGGAATATAATATCTCAGGAGATTTTAGGAATATACGTTCATAATATTATTAGAATATTCGCATGAAATATTCCGTAAATATCCGCAACAACATTCTATGAATATTCTATAGAATATTCTACAAGATGACAATAAGCTTGTAAGAATATTCTAAGGATATTCGTGAAATCTGGAAGTAGATAATCGAAAATATTATTAGTTTCATTCACCATTTTCGTGCGATGTTGGGTGGTACAAAAGAGCTCTTTTTTGAGAAAAGGATATTAGGGCATATTTTAAAAAAGTAACTTTTTCTATTACCTTCAGATTTAGCATCCTCAAAAAACCTTTAATTCATATTTCCAAGATCCCAAGTGCTAATAAATGATATTTCAAAATCTAGGTTCTCCTGATGACGACACTCTGAAATCTCAGTTATTAATGATGCGATTTTCGTGGAATTTTGATGGTGTTTGATAGTTAGAAAAATAACATACAATCCCCATCACAATCTCAAGAAAATCGCATCATTAAAAACGGTGATTTTAGGGCGGTCATGCAAAGCGGGATTTTGAATTTATGATGATGAATATGAATTGGGGGGTTTTTGGGGATGCTGATTCTGATACTGATGAAAAAGTTGTTAAAAATTAGCCCTAATATCCATTTCCTGAATAAAGGCCTTTTTGCCCCGCAACATCGCACGCATCACTCTGCTAAATACTTCATTATATCAACAAACAATCACCACCAAAATGTATTATCAATTACTGAGGTATTAGGGTGTATTCTTGATAAGCGGAACACACTTTAGATGCATGAATTGCGTATAAAACTATTCCTACCATGTAGCTGGAATACATCGGTGATTGGAACATCTGATACTATTCTGAGGACAGGTTCTATCAGCACAATGTAATGGATTTTCATCAGAATTGTCACCACAATCGTTATCACCATCACAAAGCCAATATGGTTCAACACAAATATTAGTTTTTTCACATTTGAGATGATTTGGTGGACACGTAGTATTTGTGGGGCATCTTTCATGAGTTTCATCGGAGGTTGAATTATCTTTACAATCATTAACTCCATTACAAACCTAAAAAAAAAAATAATCCATCAATATACCTAACTTCAATTTACTAATTGGTTGAGCAATCATTATCCTCTTATTATGTCCATATTGGTTATATATAGTGTCAGAAATAGATCAGATTCAAAAAGGAAATGAAGTTGTTTTTTCGTAAGAACACTACGATCGTGAGCACCGTCAGGAATACTTTCAGGAAAGTGCATATCCTATTAACTAATGAAATATTGATACATTTATGCGAAGACAATCAACATAAAAATTTAGAAAGCATCCTGAAACCTCAAAGTTTTCATTCAAACTGTAACTAAATAAAAACAATTCTTAATCTTTCTTATGTTTTTTTTTTTCGACAGAAGGATGCATGTACATTCTGCTGCCGGCACCCATGAAGGGTACGTTATCTATGAGTTGCGTGCAAGATCTGTCAGGTGGCCGACCCTGAAGGTAAATCATTGAAACACAACCTCACTTTTCTTATTCGTTTACAAAGGATTGAAATAGTTTTTCAGAACTATTTTGGCATACGAATGGTTTTCGGTTTTCATTAATTCAAGCATGCCATCACATTGTGCTGTTGTACAATGCACAAAATATGCAGCGAGAGACGAAAAAATCTGATTTTTTAGGTAGTTACATTGTGAATGCCTAATAATTTGACACTTCTTTGTTGTTCATGATGGAAGAAAAATATTTCATTGGTTTTTCTTGTATTGAGTTATAAATTGTTTGCTGAAAACCATTCAGCCGATTTTGTTGCGGTTTCACAGTGTTCCAGTCTCAACGTATTTATTTCCCGATCAGTATTCACAATCATGAGCAAATAAGGAAAGTGAGGTTGTGTGTCAATGTTTTATCTCCAGGGCGGGTCATCGTGCACGCGACCTATTGAAAAAATAGAATTCGCCCAAAACAATTCATCCTATTTACCTTGATATAGCATTAGTTACTTTCATGTCAAGGCGATTTCGTATTTGAACGTTTTAAACCCGAGCAGATGACCATACCAAATTTTTATATATCTTATATAGGTACCTATTTTCATTTCTAACGATAGAACGATAGGTATAGGATGACATGCTATAAAGAACTAACCTCTATAACTTACTTTTATTTTTGACGATAGAAATTAATTTGAATCAGCTTCACAGGGGATTTTATTTCTCGAATCATCAGATACTATCTAAGATGATAAACAGACGGAGTAGCAGAGAGTACATAACAAATATTTCTTCGGCATTAATAAGAGCATCCCAAAAATTACCGTATACATTTATCTTCCTTATTTTTCAAAAGAGTAAGCCATGACAATATTATTGACTTTCACCGCCAATAAGATTCAAATGTCATTGGTAGAACATTTACGAATATACTTACCTAGATTTGCGATCATGGATATACGAATATTTCAAGCATTCAGTCTAGCGCACTATCGTAGGTATAAATTTCAAAACACATTTCACATTGTACAAATCATTTCACAATATTGACGCATACATCCTTCAACATATATAATATAGTGCATATTTTTACCTGGGCCATTGGAATACATCTATGATTAGCACAAGTGAATTCTCCTTGAGCACATGGTGGATATTGACAATCCGTTTCATCAGATCCATCTTTACAGTCGTTCTCATGGTCACATTTCCAAGATTTGAATATACAGCGACCGTTTGCACAACGGAATTCATTAGCAGAGCAAGAATGGAAAGCTGGAAGATAATATTCATTTCATTCTGGGGAAAATGAATTAGTAGGTGACATATTCAATTCAATATTGATTACAAGATATTAGATAGTTATAGGTACCTACTCATAACGGGTTTTCAACAATGATCAAAAACCACGTGACAGATTTCTATGCATTCTTGAATGCATTCGTATCTCTTTAACGTGGGTGGAAAAGAGAAGCCGCATCAAAAATAGTCACGTGGCACCTAATCATTGTTGAAGACCCGGTATCAGGCGAAAACGTGTTTTTTGGTACGGAATAATTGTATCTTAAGGTAGTAGGTTAGGGGACTTCTGAGACATTCTTGTTCAATTCACACTGTTATCTCAATTTATCAAAGAAAATTCAAGGTTTCGAGAAATTTGATATTGATCTTGATTTTCCCCATGGGAAACTCGAACTCGAACTGGAGATTATAGATAAAGATTTCAATAAGTAATCTCAAAAGCAGATGCCGAACAGCACCTCAAATAATAAGCGACAATAGGAAAAACACGTGTTGTTGAAGTACAAAATAGATCAGTTGTATATCAATTCAGGTTGATTGTGGAGAAAGGCTTTGAAAGAATACCATTTCAGCAAATGGCAATCATGAAAATGACTTTTCAATCACGCCTTTGTATGTGTACGCATTTTTATCACAATAAACTTATATGTAAATAGTGAGCAATAATTAATTCGAATTGGAAATTTTTACAGAAACCACCTGAAATTAGAAAATGTAATGGAAGTCGTGATTGACATTCAATTGGAATCATCTATCTGTAACGGATTCGGAATGATAGTCGACAGAGAAAAGTGGTATCCTACTGAAAATAAAAGTGGGAATATTTCAAAAATCTACATCTCAGAAAATACGACCATGATATTCAAGAAATTAGTCGATGACAGTTGATTGTTCACGAATATAGTGGGATGAACCTGACCAATTCGAGTGAGAAAGATTCCCAGTTGATTACACCATGAACGAATTGAGGAAGACAGTTCGAAACTCATTGTTTCTCATTTTGGAATTTGGGGTACATTAAAATAGCAAGTATACTAAAACCGTTGGTATAAACCTAGATACAAACGTTGAATTAGGACTTGGCGAAGGAGATAAAACCTTTAATGGTGATATTTACCACATTATTGCATATCCCGATAGTTCACGGATCAGTTCAAAAATTAGGAAAAACAACTTGATATTTTTGGAATCAGAATATAATAACCACAGGATATGAAATCATGACGTCAGTACTGGCTGAGCCAACAAACGCTTTGATAAAACGGTCCATGCCATTGTCGAGTAGAGAGTGTTTTTTATGATATCATAGCATATCTTCTCAAGAAAATTGTGATTTTGCCTGTTAGGCAATTCAATTATCTGTTATATTCCATGTATGCGTTTGGTTCTAATAATTTCGCATCCATTTCAATGACAGCATATTTATATATTTCAATTAACGAGTTTTATACCTCCCTCTAGTTCAAGGATTTATTTGAAATTATGAACTTCCATACTTTCCTTGACGGTAATAGAAAATGTTCTTTCATATCAACAAGATATTAAATGAGATACAAAATACTAAGGAACTATACTCACAACAATAGTTGGTATCCTCATCACTATTATCTCCACAATCATCTTCTCCATCACAAGCCCACATTCTCGATATGCATCTTCCATTAGCGCAGTAGAACTTGCTAGAATCACAGCTCAAATTTTTAGCCACACACATCTTTCCTTCATTGACCAATTTGCTATTATCATCGCATCTACATTCTGCCGTGCCATTCGGCCCAGGATGGCAGCTTTGGGCACAACCACCATTATTTATAAGGCAAGGATTCACGCTACATTTTTGTCTGTAGGCAGAGTAAACTTGAATATCTCTTGGACTGTCCTCTAATCTCTTCACTATTTCGATCATGTTAGCACCTGTATGTTTCTCTGCACGATAAACACCTCGTAGTTGTAAGTCAGTCCAGTAGATGTATTTACCAAAAATTGTGATCGAGAATGGATAAATTGTGGCTGTTATCAATACTTCTCTATTTCTTCCGTTGAGATCCGATCTCTCAATTTTCTCCCTAACAGCGTCAGTCCAATATAACATATGCTCATCGTAATCTATAGCTAAACCTGATGGTTGGGCTAAATCTTTATCGATGATAACCCGCTTCAAGGATCCTGCCATTGTTGTTCGGAATATTTTACCAGTGTTACCAAACTTACCCCAATCAGTAAAAAATAGAGTTCCATTGCAAGGATCTATAGCTATAGCTCTAGCCCGTTCCACCTTGGCAATCATTATCAAGTGAGAACCATCCAAGTTCATAGCATATATGCTGCGATTTGAGGAGTCAGTCCAATAGATTTTCTGTTGAGTCCAGTCATAAGCAATACCTTCTGGATTGATACCTTTATTTCTCAAGTTCACTATTGTTTTACTATCTGGGTTTGTAGCCGACATCCGGGCTATTCTAGCCCATGGTCTTATTTGTGTGAAAAACAAGGTTTGGCGTTTGTAGTCGAAATCAATTCCAACAACATTTGTAAGATTGGCCACTGGTGCGAACGGTATAGTTGTTGACTGAGGATCTAAACTTATTGATCGCACTTCGGTTCTGGTAGAAAATACTAAATATTCATCCACAAATCCACACTTTTTACCATCAGTTGTGATATTTCCAGTAGCACAATCACATCTGAAATTTGATTTTTTAGGTGTAGAAATATCATCAGGCAACGCAAAGCATAATTGTTCACAGCCTCCATTGCTGAATCTCTGACAAGGATTAGAGTCATCCGTTGGTTGATTAGTAATATCGTATATGACTATATCTCTTAGTTTTTCTAGGTTAGATCTCATTGTTTTTGGCAATGAAGTATTACCTGGTAGTTTAGATGCTTTGACCAGAGATTTCAGGTTTCTATCAACCCAGTAGAGTTCAGATTTGTAGACTGCTATACCCATTGGGTTTGGCAAATTTCTTCTTATGACCGTTCTCAGACCCCCACTGTAAGATATTCTTTGTATCATATCTAATTTCGAATCTACCCAATAGACGTCGTGAGTATTCAAGTCGATAGTTAGATCTGTCGGGTTGCTTATGCCGGAAGTTATAAGCGGTTGCCATTCAGATCCATCCAGGTTAGATTTACCTATTCTGGGATATTGGCCATAGTCAATCCAATAAAGAATTCTTTTGATTGGATTGACAGCCAATTCTCTTGGTGCATCTGTGGTACTCTTGACAATTATTTTTCTATGTTTTCCATCTAATCTGCAAACCTCTACATAGTTCTCATGTGGAAAGACATTGGTGAAGTACATATTTCCAGCAACCCAGTCGATCGCTATACCTCTAATACCATTACTGCCGATGCCGTCTTTGATAATGTGTTGTAATTCAGTACCATTAGGTCTGATCCTGAAAATTCCATTCCAATAACCTCTGCTGTATTCAACCCAATAAACCCAGTTATCGGCAAAGTGAACGTCTACGTGCAAGATATGATGACCGGCACCTGATATAGGTGTCATGGCCTCCGCACTGTCCTTGAGACTAAAACCCCTGATCAGATCAAGTTGGGAAACTACCGCAAATGTTCTGTACGGGGAGCAGCTGAACTCATTTTTCCTATAGCCTATCCCACATGCACAAGTTCTCGTTCTACCTTCCGCGGGGATACAGAGCTGTTCGCAACCACCATTGTTCTGTAGGCAAGGATGGTCACCAAGTGGTCGTTTCTTGAATATGGTAAATGACTTCAATGATGATTCATTTTCCATTATTGCTTTAGCATTTCCCCCCGAAGGCAAAGCGACTTGAACCAACTTTTCAAATACGGTATCTAAATAGAACAGCCGACTTCCCATGACACCTATTGCTCTAGGAGATGCTATGTAGTTCTCTTCATTCAATATGGTAGCTCTCTTTTTACCATTCACGCTTATCTTGCCTATGAGCGGTGGATGTTCAGAAGTGAAGTATAAAGTTTTTGTTTCTATGTCGATTGCGATGGCATTTGGTTTTTCAATATCGTCTACTAGGACTATCGAGTTGCTTCCATCCATGTCAACCTTCCCAATTTTAGCAGGAACTCCGTAACCACCCTCGTCTGTCCAATATAATTTACCATCTGGAGGATCTACACAAATCGCTCTAGGCCTACCTACTGATGTTGCGTTACCGTCATTTGCTAAGATTACAACTCGGTATTTTATTTTGCCATCAATTCTAACAGCTTCTATATTACTGGTCATACGGTTGCCAATGTAGAGATTTCTTCCTAGCCAGTCAAATGCGATGGTAGAGGGCGAGCCGACAATGCCTGAGTCGATACCAAGAACTTGAGTTTTGTTGCCTCCACTGTAAGGTATACTCCAGATTGTACACTGAAAAATAATGAAGGTTATCCATTCTGAGAATATCATTTCATTTGTGAATGTGAACGGCGAAAGATTATATCTAATGAAAATCTACATTAAAATAATTTTTTTCTGTGACGGGAAAAAAGTTTGATATTTCATCTTTGTTGACAGGTTATAAAATGTTACTTTTCATAAATTATATCGTCCTTTTTCCTAGCTGTCACAGAATAGAAAGTGTATTATACACGTACGGCAGAATATTAAATTTTAGCTCATGTTTTTTTATACCTCCGCTACGCGTCGGTTTTTTTCTTGTATAATAAATAAGTATTTTTCAGTTTTTCTCTTTATCAATTCATCCTATGAAAAGTTATTGAGAACGAGAAAATGAACAAGCTATTTCAAGAAATCCGACATGGCCGCGAAACGTGTGACGTCAATGCGCGAGAAATTTGGATTGGTAATTCCTTCACCATCCCGCTGGTGCCAATGCGAAATGCACAATGGACTTGACAATGTTGCCCATTTGGACAGAAAACTATGGTCAGTCGGATATTTATTTCTCGATTTTCATTTCACCAAATAAATACAAAGATGCTGTTAGATAACTCAACCAATAACTACTTACCTGAAAATTGGTGGTACTATGCAATGCATAATCAGTTAGAGGGTTGATTTCTGTTGGTGGATTATTCGAAATTGTGAGTGAAATTTCATTTTTTATCGAATAACACAGCAGATATTCATGATAGTGAGTTTCAAATCCCTTACAGTAAAGTACTTTCAAGTTTAGGTTCAGGTACTCACTTATATGTATATGAGTATATATATCTACCTATAGTAGTAGTAACAAATTCTGAATCAATCGATACTAAATTTTCTACATGGTTCTATTTCTATTCATTTTAGAACAAGCAACACTGCCTTCTATGTAATTTCGAATCATGGCATTCCTTGCATCATCTTGTACAATTCAAAAATTTGCCGTCACAACTTCAACCAATCAAATCACGAGAAGACACTGACATCACTGTACAGTGTACAGTAGTGTTTGAACTCATATAGGTATTGAAATGGCATTTTCAATACCAAATATTTCATTTGTTGTTCGGTATTTTCGATAAATATGTGGTAGGGATAACGTTTTTGACTTCCCTTCATAATATTATAGTGAAAAGGTGTTACATTTTACGATCCTGGGAAGGCCAATTAAAAACTTTTTTGAATCTCAGATCAACAAAATACGACTCGTGACCCTAGCTGCAATATTTTCAGGCAAATATGACTTAGGGTTCATAACAGTTGAACCTAGACAAAGCAAATTTCGGTCAGTAGCGTGTTCATTAGGAATCAAAATATCTGTATAAATATTCTCAACTTTGTTTAAGTACGCAGGGTATAACATGAAGTTGTAGTCATGTTGTAGCCATCTTGTGGCAAAGCTCTGAGGTAGGATACAGAGATATCGCGACATACACTGAAGGGTGCTGCCATCCATAGTCACACGTACAGACCCCTACGTCTATGAGCTACAGAGTGGTACTACAAGTAAATCACTCTGCTGACAGATGGCACTACCTGACATACTTGAGTGGAATTTTTCCACCACCTATTCAACTGCTAAATCTCATAACTAAGAGATCTAGGATGTCATGCTGAAATTCAGATGAGATTCCATTCTAGAATTTCTTGAAAACTACTGATATACAGTGTGGTTCTGGAGATGAAATATGACTTGAAATCATGCGAATTTGAATAATGATTATGGAATATTTTGAGAAATATTTTTCATCCATACGCTGTCCCTAGATCCATCCACACCTCGCAGAAACACATATTCTTGAACACACAATGCGAAATTTTCATGCACTGCTCCATTTTTAATGTGTTATTATCGAATCACAATATATCTAAGAAGTAAAACCTGTTTTTTAGAGGAAAATTAGTGCGATCTGTGTGGTCAAAAGTACGTAGTCATTTGAGTTCAGTATGTTTCCTCCGAGTCGGATTATTGCTCTCAAATTACACAGGCACTTCCTTGAAATGAGCAATATTTGATAAATCAGCTTATATTGTCTATTACAATAAAAATTCAGTAGCGAATATTGATTAAAAGTAATTATAGTTCTCATGATAGGAAAAATAGTGAAAATTTCTGAATTTTTATTTTCGATGTGAAAGAAAATAATCTAGTTGGTATTTCATTCGATAAGTTGGAACTTATGTTCTCACTCATGATTTTCGAACATAGAAAAAATTAAATGCTTTGAAACAGATAAAACTGAATTTTTTTGAACAAGCAATTATGGTCTCAACTGATATTCGAATAATATCTCGTCATTGAACCCAAGAGCATAATACTACAAAAGCACTGAGAGGCCACGCGTTGAATTTTTTCAGAGAACTCGGCCGACCGACTTTGCCATATCTATCCTATATAAACACGAACATACCTCATGCTGCTTCCTACTCATTGAGATAAAGATAAAATATATACTAGTTCAACAATATCATGATATACTCACATTTTCTCCACTCTCATCTTTGCTTTCAACCCAGTAGATCAGATTACTCTTTCTATCGTATTCAACTTGAATACCATGTTCAATGCCAACAACTGGTGTTATGAAACCAACAGAACTATCCCCAGAAGTCAATGAGACGTCAACAATCTGAGAACCTTTCATAACCATCAAGAACACGTTATCTTCTTCGCTGCATATTCCTCCAGGATTGAGTTTGAAGCCAGGCTTACATTTACATGTATAACCAGTGTTAGATGAGGGAGAAAGTAGGCATATATGTTGGCAAGGAGCATAGGCACAGTCATTCACAGTGATTGGTTGTAAAGAAGGATGGTGAACATGAATGCTCAATGGTTGGGATATGAGGTGGGATACCACCGACTGATTATTTCCCTTGAATTTGTGTGCAGACAATACTCTATTGAGTTGTCTATCAGTCCAGAATAATGTATCTTCAAACAGCGTTAACGAATGAGGGTGTAACAGATAATGACTACCAGCCAACACTTGCTGTCTGCCAGATCCATTGTAATAACAGAAATCGATGAAATCTAGTTTTGAATCAGCGAAATATACTCTTTGAGTAGTAGTATCAAGGGTGAGACCATTTGGCCAATAGATTTTAGTGTTGATAATGGTAGATCGATTAGTGCCATCCATTCCAATTCTTTCAATCCTCGGATTTTCTCCCCAGTCTGTCCAGAATAGCCACCTCGTTCTGAAATAAAAGATGTATTGAATTGAATTGAAAATTTGCATTTATACCGGGTTTTTCATATTTGAATGTATATACGAAACTTGAAGATTTGATGGCTTCAAATCATCCCCCATTGATGCGTCTATCGTCTTTTATAACTGAGATACAGGACATTATCTTGATTTTGTCAAGATCTTCAAACGGTCATAATTTTTGAACCACTTTGTATAATCTTGCGTACTTGGTAAAAATATTCCACTTATCCATCAAAATCAAACAAAAATCGGGATCAGAATCTAGGTCCGTCTTGAGGAAAAATAGAAAACTTCTTTTATTTTAAAAACAACATTCTGTATGGCAACATTTTGTACATCAGTTTCGATAGTAGAAAGCAGCGGTAACAAATTAATAATGTGATCTACTTTTTACGAGCGCGCATCCAATTTGACAGATATTTTATTGTTATTTTTTGAAGTACTCAGCTCAAAGTGGTTCAAAAGTTATGACCAGACGAAAATTTTGCCAAAATCAAGATAAAGTATTGTATTTCAGTTTATACCATACACATCAATGTATGGTTTTTGTTGCTGAACAATCAGTGTTCAAGGATAAAAATATAAGATATCAGAACTTGGGCATTTAGAAATATATTATGAAAAGTAACAAATAACAACTACTAAAAAAAGCATATATCATTATGGCAAACTCTGCCAGCAATCATTAATAGATAAATATCGTTAAATGATAGAAATATAAGATTAAACAAAAAACATTTACCCTGGACTCGGATCCAAGCACATTCCTCTAGGCTGCGTTATGTTTTCTCTAACCAGAACAATCCTATTTGACCCATCTACTTTGGCAACTTCTATAGTATTTAGTTTTGAATCCAACCAGTAAATATTATTTCCAATCCAATCATATGCCAATCCTTCCACCAAGTCTAATCCTGTTGATATCACATTCACTGGTTCCATGCCTTTATCTAGTTTGGATATTTTTTTCAGTTTCATATCGGACCAAAAGATTGTACCAGTATGCATGTTAGAAGCAGTTGCTACTACGTTTTCTACGATAATTGGTACCCTTTCTAATCCCTGATCCTTCAAATCAGCTACCAGTATAGAATGTCTATTAGATATTATCAAGAATGCAGCAGAATGATCTAAAAAAATTTAATTATGAAATTTTAAAATCATTGGGTGATATGTCAACTCACTATAGGCTTTACAAAAATGCTTATCAGGTTCTAAAGCGTACCCTCCAATACAGCTGCAAAAGTAGGAACCCTTTGTGTTGGTACAAGTTTGGGAACATATACCAGGTGGATTGCATTCATCAAGATCTTCACAGTTTATGCCATCTTCGCTCAAAGTTTCTCCAGGGGGACACATGCATAATGGGCCCTTGAAAATAGTCAAAAAAAGAATAATTTCGAAGTGGAAAATGAATGAGGAAACACTCAAATAAAGTTGGAAGGAATAAGTTCGGAGTGTAGTAACAAGTTGAGAAAGTTATATGTTTGAATTTCATTTGAATAATAATCTAAGGTTAGGCAGTTGATCAATTTTCATGGCTCTATTTTCAGAACTGATAGTTTTCTTTATGATAAGGAGAATGATGATAATAATGATAAAACTGTTTTCCGATTGATATTATCACAAGTAAGTCACTTATTTTGACATATTGAGCAGATAGTGGTGGTGGATGAACCTATAAGTAAACAATTAATATTTTTATTGTATAACTCAAGTATTTTTTCATATAGGTAACTGATGTATTATCAAGATGATGTTGGTGAAATCAGAATATTCAGGTGCCTTTAGATACTAATTTGAAAAGTAGAATCTCATTTTATTTTGAGGAACATTATTTCGACTCATTCAAATGCCGATTCTGATTGATGTAAACATGATTTTAATAATGAAGTAGAATATGGATCTCGAGAATGTATATACCTGCGGTGTTTGCTTGCATCCATTAGAACAGAGTCCACCTTGGTGATTACATTCAGCAAAAGTACAATCGGGTCCCTCATCAGCTCCATTAGGGCAATCTGGTTTACCATCACAAACATTCGTCAGATTAATACAACGTTCTGATATACCAGGGCATAGCCATTGATCAGAGGGACATCTATACGGAGGTTTTACACATGCGTGAAGGTAGCTCTCGTCTGAGCCATCCTCACAATCGGTTTTTCCATCACATATGTAGGCCTAAAATTGCTTTGGGAATTATTATTTCTATATATCAATTATTAAGATTATATCATATCCATAATACTGACATAATCTCCATGATGAGAAAATTGGTGCGATGAATAAAATAGGGTGTTGAATTAAATGTAATGCAATGATGAATTTTAGACAAATATTACACTTTGAGAGAAGAATCTCAACGAAAACAAACGCTTTTGGGTTCTACTACTCACCCCCAGATCAGTGATTTGCAAGAGTCGCAATCAACTACCCAAATTACTTTTTTCGGCAACTTTCTGGGAAATACTCATTCTGCGGATGATGTTTCGTTGAGAAAGAAGTACTTTTTCGATCTAGTTCAAGAATTACGTATTTTCAGACGAGGCCGGAAAGAATTACGTCATTGTTGTGGAATATTCAAGGAGCAATAATAGGGTACACGCGTGTAAAAGTTTTACTAGCGAGGTTTTTTTATTTTGACGCCCTGTGTATCGGACATGGAGGACTCAAATAAAAAAATTCTTGAGATTAATCATATTATTTGATACGATATTGATATTAATTGATACGATTATCTATAGCTACCAAGTCTATAGTTTTAAATCTCACCTTGAATATGCATTGAGTACTATTACATTTATAAAAATTATTTGGGCAATTGATATTCCCACATGACATAGGTTCATCAGATCTATCATCGCAATCAGGAGTGCCATCGCAATGCCAGGCTTTCGGGATACATATTCCGGATTTGATACACTGGAATTGTTTTTCTGGATTACACTGATCAGGAGCAATTGAAGCTGAAACATATTTTGTTAAAAATGTTGCTCATGAAAGATGGGCTGATGCGCTTACGACATCCAAGTTCATCACTTCCATCGTTACAATCTGGAATTCCATCACACTTGTAGCTTTCCTGAATACATTGTTTCAAATCAGCACACTTAAATTGGTTAGGTTGACAAGTGATCGGAGGGCAGTCTTGTTCATCTTGTTTATCGAAACAGTCATCATCACCATCGCAAACCCAATTCTGAGGTATGCAATGCCCATTTTTGGGACAGGTGAATTGAAAATAGGCGCAAGTTTTTTCCGCGCATGAATCTCCTTCATCAGAACCATCCCCGCAATCATTCTCAGAATCACACTTCCAACTGTTTGGAATACATCTCCCATTATTGCAATGAAATTGTGTACTACTACAAGTCACGTTAACACAGCCAGTCTCGTCACTGAAGTCACCACAATCGTTTTCAGCATCACATTTGAAGGTTAAAGGAATGCAACGGCTCGTTTTACACTGAAATTCATTGGCACCACAGGTTGGCTCTGAAAAGAGAAATTATGTTGATATTATTGCTGTGCATGTTGTCAGGTAGGTAATGAGTAGGAATCTATGCTCGTTGTTATGTATCAGGCCAAGAAACGATATATAGTTTGAAATATTCAGGTAACTCCACATAAGAGACGATTGATAGACTATATTCATGAATTACATCAGGGCCACTTTGAATAATCGTAGCATCGTAGTGACCGTTGAAATATTTAATTTATTTTCCGCTTTCCACTCATCCAGATCGAACTATAACACATTCGGTCGCTTCGATGCCTGTGAATAAAAAAAGCTGAGAGCGACACTATTTCAACTGCCACTACGATGCTGCGATCATTTTTAGAAACCCTGCATGTAGTTGAGTATAATAAATAATTTTTGCAATCCAAATGCTACCTACATAAAATGCCTAGGCATTTCCGAATATCAATATGGTTTATTGGATATATCCCAGTCCCAGTATCTCATAATTGGCGAGTGGACTATTTTTTTTTATTTCTTAAATAGCATCATCACTCAAATACCTTTCAATTTTATATTTATTCAGAATTTTCCGTTCTATTTTGAGGTGTTGAAATCAACAATGATTAATAATAATAATTTTCAAACGGTAAAAAATTTACCGCGACTAAAAACTAACGTCACGATTTGTTGAGTAGGAAATACGATTGGAACTTCAGAAGTATTAGATATTCAATAATTCATAAATTCTCAATTTTATATTGGTAATATTCTGTAATGCCCCTTTCTTCGTTCGTTGGTCTAACGCAGGGGGTCGTTACAAAGTAATTTTTCCTCGATCAATGGGTTCGTTGATCATTGAGGCAGGAGGCAGAATGAGATTGTAGACAATAAGACAACATATAGATAGTTACTGAGACATACATTCAGGCAGTATGGTCAGGCAGAGGTTACAGGCAACAAAATCAAAGTTTGCTTACATTTTAGATTGCATATTTTTTTTACACTGTTCACTTGTTTTTTAATTGGCGAGAGATTCACTTCACTTTTACGTCTTAGTCACAAAAGTTGCAGTTTACCATAAATCTACCTGAGTGGTTACTTACACAGGTATTATTAACGAAGTTCACTGGTACTGTCGGCTGGATACGTTTTGTATTGAGTCACGTTTAAGACTGATGTTGAAGTCGAATTTTCCTGCTTTTATACTGAATTTTGGCAATAAATTTTCAGAGAATCAATTAAATATGAGATAAGTTCCATGTTGTGTTTATATTGAGCAAGATTTCTAGTAGATTTTTGAGCAATAAATTACGGATATTAGGATTAATATGCGAAACTGAAAAGATTTTGTTCTGAATTGTTATGATGATAAATAATTTTAAGCTATAGCTCATACTCTTAATGTGAACAAAACTGTCACTTACTATAGTTTTCCATTAACCCTTTTTCAAGTAATAATTCAATGTGGTTTATGATTCTCATTAATTTTTCTCGACTTCAATTTGCACAAGTGAGATGATTTCGATGTAACTCTCCAATGTTATGATAATAATTCACTTTATGATTATTAACAAAATTGACAATTACATGCTCTTTCACTCCCTCTTTACTGAACTTATAAATTCTCTGCAAATTCTCATCATCGTCATTTTTGTCTCTCAATTCAGTCCTGTGATATCAACCTGCTTTCGTTCTCAAGTGACCAGTGAATTCGTTTTACAAAGGTAACGTACCTACTTATTCTATACATTTATTTATGCTAATGATGCTGCACTCAATTCAAAATAAACATTCGTCCGTTCACGTAATAATATTGCCTAGTAGACGCATGATAAAAGTTATTATTATTTAAGACTATTCCACTCTTGATCTTGAGAACCAATCAGAATCGACCATTTTCACGGTTTCTTCTGTATTCTAGCGATATTTTTTGTTTATTAAATTTTATCGGACTTGCTCTACCAATACAGAAGCCGAATTGACCCACACGTGACCAACAAACCTCTGGTCTGGTCAAGATTGCTTTGTATTCAAATCTGACACAAGAGACAATAACCTAAGTACCTACTTCATTTTATTTACTTATCATTCGCGTTAGTAAGACATTTTGTACGAAAGGCGAGACAATTTCATTCTGGCTGGACGTTTCATGTGTAATTTAATGAGTTTGCATATTTGTTGACGGTCTGACAACAATACTAGAATTCAAATTCCCATTTGAAGTAATCTTCTTCAGTCACTCAAGTTATTGTGACCAATAAAATCCAGGTAATGTGGCTCAACTGATAGGGTTGTTGCGCGGTGATACGAAGGTCGGTGGTTCAAGCCCGTCGGCGACAATAATTTTTTTTTTTTTAATTATTTCATGTCACATAAATTCAATTTATTTTGTTCGAATTGGATAGCAAATGTATACACTCTTTTGAGAGCAACCATCTCCAAGATAATAAACAAAATACTGTTCATCAAAATTGTACATTCCACTTTGTGAATTACTAAAAGTAGGTATAGTTAATTTCTAAAAAATTGAATTCTGTATTTCATTACTATCATTATGTTCTTCTTCGCAGTTTGAGTTGGAATATACTTAAACTATGTTTCCTATTTCTTATATATATATTGTCTCATTCAATCATGAAATAGTCATACGAATACAACTCGTGATACCATTTTTCCTGGAAATATTCGTCGATTGACATACTCCAGCTTGCTGCTGTCGTAACAATCACCGAATATTTCCGGCAAAATATTATCACTTGTGGTATTATATATGACAATTATTGTTCACTGTACTTAGTTCAAAAGAATTCAGAAATCCATATAATTTTGTCTAAGATACCCGTTCATTACAATTCGTAATTAGACTTAAAAAATTAATTGTCTCAAAATATTTCCTCATGTGTTGTGGCTTATTGCTTAAAATACATTTGTGTTGATAATAAAATTATTATATTAATTCACACTAGAGGACATTCGAAGCAGGTAAACGTGACAACACGGTGCACGAATTGTGGGCGGTGCCTTGTCAGTTCTCAGCATTCAGCACATTGTTGCCAAGTTTCAACATCAACATGATATTTTGTTATGGAGTGTAAGAGATATTTGGTTGCTCGAAAAAGTCAAGAACGAACTATAATATCATGACTTCCGAATATTATGTTTCATCTCGTGTTATATTCAATGACATGACTCTCTATTTGATAAATGGATTATAAATGGTGATTTGAAAACCTTGCTAAAAACTGTCGTCACCATTTATTCGACGTATTGCCAAATGGCGGCCATAACGGTAAGTTTGAAATGAGCTCATCTGAAATTTAACAACTTTGAACAACCCATAAATTCATTATTCACATAAAGAAAGCGTGTGCAGTGTTACAAAAAATTACTTTAGGTCCCTAACGACACAGTGGAGGAATTGAATGCCGAAAATTCATTATCAGTTCACTCGCTCATTCTCATTTTCTTCAATCATATCGTAAAAATAAGAGGCGGTTGACCAGAATTGGAGAAGATATCAAAACAAACAATATTGTTTAATTATACATGACTTACTTGAACAATTTTGGCTCTCATCACTATTATCCAAACAGTCATCGTCACCGTCACAAACCCATGATTTCGGTATACATCTCTGATTGTCGCAAGTGAAATCCCAGCTATTTGGGCAAGCTTGAACTGGTGGTTCGTGATTAGGATCAGCCTCACAGGTTTCCTGAGCAGTTAATCGTTCTCCATAAGGACATCCGCATTTAGCAGTGAGGATGTTCCTAGTTTCGTCATGAATAGCAAAACATAGTTTCTGGCAACCACCGTTGTTTTGCCAGCACGGGTGAGTAGGAATGACGTGTTGTTCTCTCTTGCTATATATCTTAAAGAAAGGAATACCTTTTACTTATATTATATTGTTATCATTTATAGGTAGTTTCTTATGCAAGAAAACATTATTTTGAAGTGATAATGTAAAAATGCATTGTTCCAGTGTAGCATAATAGTATATACAGGGTGGAGCATTATGCTTTTCTGGGTATGATATGAGAAATAGTAGGTAAATGTTTCTATAATTTTCCAGATGATTTGTCCCAAAAAGTTGTTGCGTTTAAAATGCCACTAACAGAAATCTGAAAGACAAGCCCAGTCAGCACATCCTTTCGTAGTCAACCTCGAAAGATGTCGAACAGCACTTTAGGAAAACTCCTTCATCCATAGAACGGCTAGGCTCTGGAATTCATTGCCTGAGGAAGTATTCCCAACAACATATAATATCCAGAAGTTCAAAATAAATTCCAATACCTACCTCCTGTCCCTATCCTCCCTAGAAACGCACGATGATCTTTGAACATTATAGGGATTTCCTATCGTGCGCTCCAAGTGATAAAAAAAGATATTCAATCGATAGTCTGTAATTCCCTGTTAAGAAATATTTGAGGATAGGTATAGTGAAAAATATCGAATATCCACTCAGCTTTGGACGTTTCGGGAACGAATCTGATCCTATTTTCAACATGAAAAATGGGAATTCTTCCTTACAATTTGGTCTTTCATAACATTTCATTTCTCGATTTTGACTATGATATATAGGCAAATGTAAATGAACAATAATATTTCAAATAAGTGATAGAAGTTACGAATTGAATTCTCAGGATATTGTTGAGGAGACAATAGTAGATAAATTATTCAACAATTACTGAAGAATTTCACATAGCAATTGATAAATCATAGAGAGATTAAAGTAGTTGATATTTTATAATCTTGACTAATAACCATAACATCGAAAGGTCCCTAGATTGAATCCCCGGTAGAGCAAAGAATTTTTATCTGTGAAACGAGTTGAATATTCCAATTTTCGTAACCTCGGCCGGAGATGATTCCGAACATTCCAATTAACAGTGCTGTTTCTGAAGTGGCGTATGGAGTTAGTAACAAAGCCTACATAAAAGAGATATGGCTGAAGGACCTCTCGTAAGGTCGATAGCCAGTTGGTGTGTATACATACATGCATACACACCAACAATAAAGTACATATACTACTACTCATGATTTTCATCACCCTATTTATATTACAACAAAATCAAGTCTATCATTGGTTTCAGTATCATTGGAAGTTGACGATTAACTTGAATACATAGAGAATATGTACAATAGAAACAACCATATATGTGTCACCAAGTTTTTCAAATCGCCCTGTTTATATGAATGGTGATTCATAAATGGGAAGAGCATGTTCAAATCGCAGTGATATTTTGGGACAAATCATCTGATTCGTAATTACTATAATTTCATTGAAATTAAATTCATATTTTTATCAACAGACAAGAGAGGAGAAATGCACGCAAAACTAGATAATTTCTTTACCTCTTGTCGATTAACCTTCAGACAATATTCAAAAATTGTAGGTATCTGGTGAATGTCGTCCCTTTGAAGGGGTTCCAGGGTCTGGAGACGATTACATCAATAGACTTTCAATATCAAATAACCCACCAGAGGGAGCGTAATAAACAGAGCATGTCAGGCCATTAGACGTCCTCCTTCAAAAATGTGAGCTGTGAATTCAGATTGTTACTTGAGAATGCTCTAGTACATTCCCGTCCAGCTCTCTAAGCAATGCGAATCAAGGATACCTACGTGGGTTCAACAAAATTATGCCACAGCATACAAACTTCTTAGATGGATAATCTCTCTGAGGTGGGTCGTCATTTGGCCAGCATGATCTTCTCTTATTAAAGCCCCGTGATTTTTTCTGTGCGGTTACATGAAACGGAAAGTCTCTCCCCATCACTTCAAGACCCTGAAAGCCCTATTTACAGCCGTTCCGTCAACATCTTCGACATACTGAATGAAAACTTCAGACAGTAGCTTCTTCAATGTATGGCCAGTGCTATATGAGAAAAATTTAAATCGAAATCCATAACTAATTTATCATATTTCATTCTCAAAAAATCAACATGCTGGGCTCCACCCTGTAGAAGCCAGACTTTCCATTCAAGATACCCATTATATCAGATGAGCTATGATTGGTGTAATTTCACAATCAACAAACAAGCATTAAACTATGGTGATATATAGTGTAATTTTCAGTTGTGAAATATGCTAATTTCTCGATAATATTTGAATATAAATATGTTCTTCTAGTGAGATATAAATTGTCATTTGGAATCCATCTCAGAGCTCTTCGAGTTTTTCGAATAAATAATAACAGGAAGACATATTCCGCGAGTTCAATACAACTTATATTTACGATACGATTTGTAAGTGTATTGTGAGTACCTCAGTACACTCCTACTATGAGTACTATGGTAGTTGATTCTCAAATATTTCTATGTGGAATGTGGATAAATGTTCACTGGTTGTGAAGGAATATTATTATTCAAGTTTATATATATGTATGTGATGATTTCGAATAATGTAAGGCTCTGTGATAAAAACTAGAAAATATATTCATCAATCAATATGATACAGATATGTGGCGTGAATTCGACTAGAGTGTCCAAACCCCTTGTGTAGATGATTTGTGATTTTTTGCTACATCATTATATGATTAGGTAATCTCTATCATGATTTGTCTCAAGCTTTCCAAGATCACCACAATCAAAACTGCAAGAAAAAGCCTGAATACAAATATCGTTATTGAAATGCAAGAAATTGGCAACGAAGTGATCCATTTTACTCCAATTTCACGGAAAAGACTTAAAACGTAATTCATTAGCAAATTTGATTTTTCTTCCATTTTATTATCAAATAAAGTATTTTGTGCAATGGATAAATGAATTAATCATTCATTTTCCATGTAAAAAAAGTGTATATGGTTGATCAATATTTATCAGTTCCTATTCCATAATTACATGTATTCTAATGGGGCTGATATTCTAATCTCAAATTACGTTCTACCTGCAACATTGATTGCATCTGTTCATTTTGCCAAAGATAAATATGAACATGAATATTAATGGATTCAAGGTACATGTCGTATTTTTGTCAATATTTCTTGAACTATCTGAAAATGTATCCTTCAACTTACCTTCACACCATACAGTCGATTGGTCTGTGGCTCTTTAATCAACGTTTCTTCATCACCTCCATGCAACTTGTGCAGCTTGATTATAGCATCTAGCCTCCAATCAGTTATGTACATGAAATCACCATAAATAACTATACTGAAAGGATGTCTTATGAGCCTGGAATTGACAGTCTTCACATCAGTACCATCTAAATTCGTATGTTGTACATGATCAAGGAGGGCATCACACCAGTACAGCCTATCTGCTTGAAAATCAATGGAGAGCCCATTTGGCCAACCAAGAGTTAAATTTTTAAAAACAATCAATTTGCTTCCATCACTGAGTGCTCTAGAAATATTCGCTGGGCGATCCCACTCAGAGAAGAAAACATAACCTTTATTAGGGTGGACAACGATTGCTCTCGGTCTCTTCAAATTTTTCAACAGAGTTCTTTTGTAAGTTACATTACGTGTCGACAAAACATTAAGAGTTCCCTTACGACTATCGATATAGTATAGGTTTTTTGCAGCCCAGTCAACAGCTAAACCTTCTACACCCTCATTTTGAGAAGCCAAGACAATTTCTTTAGCAGTTCCATTTCTATGTACTCGGTAAATGACATCTTGAAGCACATCTGAATAGTAAATATATCGATCTTCGGCATCAAAATCTAAACCGACGAATCTTGCTCTTCTTGATACAACCGGCAGCATAGCATCACTGAATCCTTCAACCACAGGGTTCAGAACTCGACCTTTGATGAACCTCTGCTGAGAATACATCAAGAAGTCGTCAACTAACTCACAATTTCTTTCATCTTGGGCTAACCGCCAGCCTATATTGCAAGCGCATCTAAATCCAATATGAGGACCATTGTTCGTTACTACACACATATGTTGACATCCTCCATTGTTGTTTCCGCAAGGGTTAGTAATCATTGGTTGACTGAGCCCATGAATTGCTTTTATGGCTTTAGGATCTCTTATATCAGGCATACGGAATATTGACTGAATACTGCTAGTATCGTATTTATCAATAGACATTACTCCTTGTTTAGTACCATCGCTCCAGTAAATTCTGCTCTCAAATATGGTCAAACGCGAGGGGCTAGGCACCTGTTGTCCTCTCACAACCAGGAATCTTTTTTGACCATCATAATCAACAGTTTCAATATAATCTAATAGTGAGTCGCACCAATATACTCTCTGGGTTATGATATCCACTGATATTCCTGATGCTTTGTAAGCAGCTTCAGATACTATCGAAACAGATTTGGTACCATCCATATTTGCTCTCAGTACTTGAGAGCCGTCTGCTACAAACATATAACCTATAGTGGGGTCCAGAGCTAGGTCTGCTGGGCTTGATAGGTTTGACCCCAAGACTATAGCATGCAATTTTCCTTGGAGCTCGAATATATCGATTTTTTGACCAATCGAATCAGCAACATAGAGTTTGTTTCCTATCCAATCGACTGCTATTGCTACGGGTAACCAGGAACCAGGAAGTGATAGGTCTATATCAGGAGATGCAAAACCAGGTGTTCCAATAAGTTGCTGGGAGTGAACCTGAAAAAAGAGTTCAATAGATAATGCAAACTCTAGCCGAGGAATTAATGAGGAGCTAGATGGTATACTTATGACTACTTCATGTACCTACACTGTTTATAAAGTAACTCACACCCCCTATAGTTTACTTTTGATCAACTGGAATTTTCTTCTGTACCGATAGTAGTTCAAGTGTTCCATTCTGATTCTAATATGGAATTATAAGTGTCGAATGATACCTCAGTCGAAACGTCTCTCGAGCTATTTTCAAGATACCAGAATTTGAAGCGAAAATTTTCATTCAAAACAAAATTGCGGATGATGATATTTGAAATTTCATAACAGGATCCTATCAACTAAATGGCTATTAGAGTGCTTTCGTGTAATCTTCAACTTTCTATTGAGATCTAGAGAAGTTCTCTCCAAAAAAATTTTAAAACAGGGCCATCTTGTAGAAGATAATAATAAAAATTGTTCTTGATTTTGAAGATATTTCCTCAATTCTGTTTTTTTCTTCAAAATGGCTCCCACTCGACTGGATAGATTTCTTCTTTATATGCCAATAAAAGAACGGAGCAGGAGTAACCTGCGAATTCTGACAGGACTGCTTACGGGACACTGTCGTCTAAGATACCACCTGGGAAGGATGGGTCTGAACCAACAAACGGACTGTCGGTTCTGCTGTGTGGAAGACGAAACGGCTGAACACATATTATGTTCATGCTCTTACTGCTCTTACTTAGGGAGACTGAGATTCGACTTATTTGGCTTTACCAATTTGAAACCTACCGATTCCAGACAAATCTCACCTAATTCAACCATAGACTTTGTAAGAAGATGTGGATTGTACAATGATCTGTAACCTCTAGGGGTGAGCCACAATAGACCCATCAGGGATCGCAGTGGAGGGGCGGTATTCGCCCCACTCACATGGAATCTAATCTAACCTAGATGCCAATAATGAAAATGTCAAAAGAGGGCCATCTTGTAGAAGATAATAATAGAAATTGTTATTAATTTTGAAGATATTTCCTCAATTTTGCTTTTTTTTCTGCAGAATGGCTTCCTTTCGACATTAGCCTAGATATATTACTTCTCTAGATACGGATAGGAAAAAGATTACACGAGATCCATCTAGTCCATATAGGATCCTCGTATGAGATTTCAAAAACTATCATACGTCATTTTTGTTCTGTATGAAATTTTTTTTCTCAAATTCTGGTGCCATATAAAGAATTGGAAGTCGTTTCGAATGAGGTATCACTCGATCACCCATTTCATTTGAAAAAACTTTCCAAAATGCCTTCCAGGCTCCATTTTGAAAGATACATATTTGTGGAGCGTGCGCATTCAGGACCTGTCATAGCATAGATCTTACTCATTGTTAAGGCGGTTTCATAAAACATTCATCATCATTACATTATCACCACATTATTAATTAAAATATGAAACCGCCTCTACTTATGTTACAGCTTGGGAGTTCCTGCATTCGCTTTGTTAATAGCATATGACACAATAGTGATCTAGGCAGCAGTTCGAAAGTTAACTATGGGCAAGGGGGTTAGGTACTTTATGGAGTATTGAACACCAAGATATTGGTAGGTACTTTTCGTATTACCAAAATATCTGAAATCAAAATGATTTCAAATGGGCTTGAGAAGTATGAGAACTTTCTTTGAAGAAATTATGGAAGCTTACATAAATTTATATATTTCCATAATTAATTAATTAACATAGTGATGATGGTTAGCAAGTAATGATAGTAATTAGTAAAAACGAATTCAATACTAACTGTTGATTGTTGAATAGTGTGAATGATGATCAAAGTGGAAAAATATAACAAATGATATTTTCTGATTGAATTTCATTTGTGGAATTACCTTTTTTGTTTTGACATCTGACCAAAATAACATATTCTTGTAGTAGTGGAAATCTAATCCACTAGCCTCCGTAGTATTAACGACAACGTTCAATTCTCCTCCAGTCTTATTCATACTGACAATAGCTTTATCATTAGCAAAATATAGCATCATGGAGCTAGAGTTCACAGCTTGGCACCGAATTTTGTCCTTGGCCGTATACCCAGGAGCACAGGAGCAAGAATACCCGCCATCTGTATTCGAACACAGTTGATCGCAGAACCCCCATTCGGTGCATTCGTCGCGATCTGTGCAAGTTTTATTGTCAGGTAGTAGTTGTTGGCCTTCAGGACAATAGCACGAACCGCCAGTTGGTGAAGCCTGGCATTTGTAATCACATCCGAGGGATGGACAAAACATTTTGGCTGAAATTGGAATTGTGTTCATATAGTTACAGAAATGGAAAAAGGTAGTGTGTTCATTGTATGAAAATTAGCAACTACCAGGCAACCAGATGATTTTAGATAAGGAGTTAAGTATGGGATTCTTCACTAGTTGTAAATTTTTTTACAGTTTTATACGTGTGAGTAAATGATTAAAAAATTGTGTACAGGAGAATGGAGCCCCTTTCTCAAAACAGGCTAACCTCTATGATATGTATGGAATATATTGTAATTTGATATGTTTCTAGTACTAAATTTATGAGTTATGTTGAATTGAAGGAAACATGACCTATTTCTGAACACAAAAATACACTCATATATGTGAAATGCTGGAATAGTAAGTAAGTAAATTTAAGGAACTGGAGTGAGTTTTCCAAGGAGTGAGATAACTCATTTTTTGAGAATGATGCCCTTGAATAGAAGCTTGCATAGTGAAAGGTTTTAACAGTGTTGATATTTGTGTTATTCGACAGTATTCTGAGGTCAGAACAAGATCGCTCAAGTTCCTTACAGAGGAAATTGATATGAGAAGAGAAACTCACCCAAAACACACCCAAACATTTGATTTCTGTGGAAAATTGTATTTTATGTTGATTCAAGAACCAATTCTCTATGTTAACCATGACTGAATAACCGTTAGTTGAAGAAAATTTGAAGCGGTAAACAACAATGTAGTATCAGTTGCACAGTTACTGATAGTTTGATCTCGTTCGGCGATTGACAAGAGATCATTGATGTAGATGTTGAATATGAGTGGTATCTTGAATCTGGACTGTATTCTCGTGAGATTAATACCAAGGAGGAGCTAGTTCAGAGAATCGAAGAAGTATGCACAGAAATTAAAAACAAGAAAGGGTTTGAATCAAAATGGAGGCACTTTAAGCAATTATAGTTTTTATGTTTCATGAGATGGTGGATTTTTCATTATTTTTATTATTCTAATATTTGAGGAAACGAAATGTTGCCAACAATGATATGTCATTATATCGATTGATTTGTACTATATATTTCCACAAATTCATAAATATAGGTCTTCATTCATTCAGGTTACAATAGCATATACAGGGAAATAAAAAGAACTACATTTGATTCAGCTTCTTATGCACTTTTTTTTTAAATTGTTGGTATTTGATTAGGAAAACTCAAAACATTCCACGTTTACCTATATACCTCAAATTCAAAATCATATATTCTTAAGCTCGTTCTTAAGTGAAATAGCTTGCGGGAAAATGACAAGTACACCATTCGAGTCAGCTTCTTGTGCACTTTCCGAATATGTAAGCAGTTTCTGGAAATTCGAAAAGTTCTTTTTGGGGTCCAGTAATATGAGCAATTTTCGTTAATCCGGACCTGTTTTTTTTTGTGACTGATTGGTGATAGGGGCTTGGGTAGAAGAAAAAGGAATTATGCGCCAAAATTGCAAAGGAATATACTGGGTGGTTGGTGGTTCGTATATGAGTTATGTCCTCACGAAGAATTGAGCAAAATTAATAAAACTCGAATATAAAACTTGTGAGACCCTAAAAATATGATCAGAACCACCATGATGAGCTCTACCCACCATTGGAGTTTGTCCGTTTCCCAATGGGACAGCTTGTATACAATATGTGTGCGATTTCAACACACAACGCCTAATTTGGAACCCGTCAACTGAATTTCAAAAACAAAATTTCGATGATATAGTACCCAACGAGATCTATTCCAAAATGTGGACAAATTTGAAATATTAAGATTTTAAAGGCTATTACTTTCGTTCGTTGAAGGGGTCAAAATTTCAAAACGACTATTAGGCATTTTTTTCCGAAATAGTGACTAGCCCATTTGAGTATAGCGGAAATACCTCCATACAAAATTTGAATATCTCATATAGGGTGTTGGTTATTCAATGGCAAAATTTGATATTTTGTATTTTTCGATTCACCCTGTATCGAAATCCAAGGAAATGATATAACCGGTGAAGTAGTCATTCAATGGAGAAACACATCGCCGAATACTTAGATACGAAGTTTCATCGTTGTAACTTTCACAGAAAGATTTCCACTAGGTCAACCAATAATTGATGAAAATGATAATTTTTTTATTACGATCCATACAATGTTTTTTCCGGCAACCGTCCGGAAAGTGCAGCTCACTTCCCGGACGCTTTTTCTTTGAGAAAGTGGCATTTTTCTGGCCTAGTCCAGGAAGTACGTACTTCCCGAGAAGTATCACATCGTTATTGTCACTGTAATTATAAAAATCTTGGTATAGATATGGCTTTGATGAATGCAGATGATCATTCTACAAAGCCAACAGCACCGTGACTGACTGATAATTTGATAATGTTGAAGAAAGAGAGAGACAAAGCTTTGCAGAAATACAAAAGAACTAAGCAAGACAATGACTTCAACAGATATAAGGAATTGAGAAACCACACACTCGCGGTAACCAGGAGTGAAAAAAGGCTTATCTCAATCAGGTATTTCAAACGAGAACTTCTTGGAAAGCTTTAAAAAACATGGGAGTTTGTTCAAACTCTAAAAATATAATTCCCGATAACTTATAGAATCCCAATGCTTTGAACAATTATTTTGCCACATATCTGCAAAATGTAACTGATAAATGTGACGAGAAAATTGATTTCTATATTAACTCAGTTGACGATCCTCCTATGCAATTTTCATTTAGATTAATAACTGTTGAAGAAGTGAATAAAATTTTGCATTGTATTTAAACAAATGCTTTTGGAGTTGATAATATAAATGCTGAAATGTTAAAATATTGCAGTCCATTCATTGATAAATATATAGCTCATATAATAAATTGTTGCATTGAGAAGTCTTACTTTCCAGTTTTATGGAAAAGTTCTGTTGGAAAACCTATACCTAAAACAAGTCATCCGAAGGATTTTACGGATCTCAGAATTATAAGTTTAGTCCCTACCCTATCCAAAGTGTTTGAAAAATTTTTGTATGCACAAATATATGAATATTTCAGACCAGGCAGAAATACTTAAACATCTTTGGCGACTGTAACAACTGATATATTAACGGCTTTTGATGAAGGTTTATCTAGTGCTCTGGTACTACTCGATTTTTCTAAAGCTTTCGATACAATTAATCATGAGTTGCTTTGTGCAAAATTGAAATTTTATGGCTTCAATGAATCATCCGTGTTTTTGATATGGAATTACTTTTTGCGTCGTTCTCAAAAAATATATGTTGGGTAATACTCATCCAAACTTGATATACTCTCAGGGGTTCCACAAGGCTCCATACTGGGTCCCTTGCTATTTATTATATACACTACTGATATTTTAAATAACATTAAAGATTGTAAAGTACAAGCTTTTGCAGATGATACACAATTGTACCTTAAGATTAGCACTGAGAATTTGGTAAATGCCGAGAAAATTACAAATACGATGAATTGAAAAATATCAAGACTTCCTCTGATGAACACAATTTGAAACTTAATTCTGAAAAATCGAAAGTATTACTCTTTGGCAATAAAAATAATAGGAATATTGTAAGAAATAATATGACAGTTCAAATTGATGAATCACCATTACTAGTAAGTGATTCAGCCAGTAACCTTGGATTAGTGTTCGATGTGGATATGCGTTTCTCTCTTCATATCAAAAGTAATATAAGCAAAGCTTTCGCATCTTTGAAACTCATATATAGTGCCCGCCATTTTCTCAGTGTTAAGATGAAGCGAACTTTATGTGAGTCATTGGTTCTCAGCCACTTCAACTATTGTGATTTTATCTATGGTCCATGCTTTACTAGGGTAGACAAGGAAAATATTCAGAAAGTGCAAAACAGTTGCTGTAGACTAATTTATGGAATCAGAAAATATTACCATATTTCTCATAAATTTCAAGAATGTAACTGGCTCAACATGGAAAACAGAAGACAGCACCATCTATAGGTACATTCACATATAAACTCCTCAATCATCCAATGATTCCAAAAGTCGTTCGTATCTAATGCTATTCAAATGTACAATCAATTGCCGGATGAATTCAAAAAATACAATATGAATAAATTCAAATATAAATAAAAAATTCATTTACTTGAAACACAGCGCAATCATTCTTAACCGCCTCTGTATACTACAGCAAGATTGTTCTACCTAGCATCAAGCATTCATTGTACTCTCATCCCCGTTTAGTATTATACATTATATAAATGTGCACTCTTTCATTCGTTCATAAATTGTTCTAATTTTATAAATTTCAATAATCCTACATTTTTGGTCTGACCAACATTGCCGAAATAGTTATAGTGAATACTGTTAGACATAGGTACCACTGTTGTTTTTTCATTTTATGTATATGGAAATTATTTCTCTTGGGCATTGGCCCCCTGTTGGTTAAGTAGAATACCTTTAAAATAGATTTCGCCAGCAGTTTACTATGAATTATTTATGTTTATATTGAAATTATTATTATTACCATTGCAGCGAAATAACGGCTGAAAGCTATTCGACATGAAATTAGGTGACATTTTGATTTTTGAAAGTTTGTATCCAGTTATCGCAATAAACTATCGAAAACAGCAGCGATAATGAGTTTGAAAATATCCATACGAAATTTCCAATGTAGCTGTCAGTAGGTATATGTATTCTGTTCAAAGTTAGGTATAGGTACTGCTATATACAAATAGGAATTGAAATGTTCGAAATTATATTCTACAAAGAAATATAATATGGAATTGTGACTCATTGTTTAGTAATTCTACATGGTAGCCAAAAAAAGTGTTCGCAACACGTTCAAAAATAGTTTTTTTTTATTACTCGCAGACTTCCAGGACTCGCCTACGACTCGGCCTAGAATTTTGTCTACTCGTCCAAAAAACAGTATTTTTTGGACTGGTCACGTAAATAACTATTTCCTGGAAATATATATAATAGTAACTAATTCGAGGAAATATTCTCCATACATAACAATTTTCATTGTCATATCAAATTTTCATTCAATAAAATGAACGTAACTAAAA